CATGGTACCACCACTGATTCATGCGGCAGCGTTGTTTCAACCGGCAGAGGTCCTAGGACAAGCATGGCCAGTTCATCAGATGACAACTGTTGGTTTTCACGTAACCATGGTGTGGCTCCTTGTGAATTGGTCAGGTAAATGCCTGTTGCATTGCATCTGAACTCTTGCAATTGTTGTGTTGGCTGTCCATCTTCCTTCAGGAGGAAGCTGCAATCAACTTTGAATTGGTGAGGCTCTGGCATGGTCGGATGCTTCCTGCGCAATTTGTTTTTGGTACTCACTGATGCTTGTTGCACTTTGGGAGTGGGCTGAGGCATCTGGATGGCTGCTTCTTTGAGTATCATGTGCAACTGGCTGTCACGTTTGTTGCTGGAAGGCTGCTGAATCACCGGAACAAACCTCTTGACACCAATGTCATCGATAATCTTCTCAAGATTGTCATTGATCCAGGCAAGTTCAATGTTGTTCTCAAGCATCCAGGAAGCCACAGAATTGCGAACTTGCTGTTTGAGCTGACTCTTGGTGGCAGTCGGGCCAGCACCTCCACTCATTCCAAAGGCAAGATGGATCTTGAGTGGCTTGCCCTCTTCATTCTCAAATTGCATCAGTGTGCCTGAGCAAAATTGCTTTCCTTGGGTTACCAGTCTAACCTCTCGGAATTGTGTTGTGGGGGCAAGAGCATACATGAGAACGGTGGAAAGAATTTCGGCAGAAATTTGTTCACTGATTTTTCCTGTCCAAAGCACTCTGGATTTCCATTTGAGGCTGATTGTCTTTCCGTGTTCACATTGCAAGGTGTCCATTATGATTCTTGTCATAGCAATTGCAACTGCAGGCACGAAAGAGCTGGGAGGTGCAGCAGCCCCAATTTCTGCTGATCCAAATTCAATCATGGTGGTGTCAGTATCATGTTTGACTGAAACATACCGTCCCATGGCTTGAAGAGATGGTTTGCTGATGGCGGATGCGACAATGGATGCTACGATCTGTCTGGACACAGTGTCTCCTGTCAATTTGCAGCACCATTTGTCATCCTTGTTGTCATAGTAGTATACCTCAGTGCAGTTTTGAAATGCCGCAATGATGATGGCTGTGTCCTGATTGGATTGACCATGTTGCAATGGCGTTTCCATGAGCATGGTATCTTGGCAGCATGTCATTTCTTTGGTGATTGGTCCAAATTGATCAAACAATTCATCTGTGGTTGAAATTCTGGTGCAAAAGTCGTGGAAATTGTCTTGATGGTCATGGAATGCGTAAATCGTGAGGCGTCGATCTGCGATGTAGACCACAAGGTTGTGGTCTGAGGAAATTCCCCTCTTGGATCCTGGGTACAAATGACATTCGCCCTGAGAGAACTGCACTTCACAGTCTGTAAACCACAGACTGGCCAGGTCTTGTGGTGTGACATCTGAGGCAATCCAAAAAGGCAGAGTCCATTTGTCTTGGTGCAAAATTGCTTTCAAAGTGATGGCAAATGCTTGTGTCGGCGTGAGGGTCAGTTCTGGTGTTGCAGGATCAATCTCGGTCACCTGGGATGCTGTCTTGGTGTTGTTGGCATGGAAATTGTCTTCATTTCTGATCATGGGGTGAAATCCATCAATGTCCCAGTATTTGGATTCGGGGAGCATGCTCTTTCCGTACTCATTGAGAAATTGGACAATGTTGGCATGTTGATCATCCGTGATGTCATCATCATAGATCATGTGGCGCATGACATGTCCTGCTTGTCCTTGTCGAATGATCACATTGGATGATTTGAGCCTTTGGGATTCCCATGTTTTGAAGACTTCTTGCATGTCAAAATGCATTCCAAACTTTGGCATGAGTTTGAAAGCTCCTGTCAAAACCATCAATGCGTGAAGTGGAGTGATCTGGTTTCCCAAATATCGCCATGCCGTCTGGAAATGCCGCAATGCAAGGTATCTGCTGGTGACTCCATGTAGCAGTGCAATCTCACCTGGATGCAGAAGTCTGGGCCCAGTTTGTTCGTCCTGAATGAAGTGGGCCAAGCACCCCTTTTCTCGCAGGATATCATGGTTGATTTTGTGTTGGCTTCCATAGGCTGCCATGATCACTGGAATTTTTTCATCTTGGGAAAAGGTACGCATTTGCAAAGGCGTGTGTGTACCCATCTTTCTTCTTTTGGCATTTGGAAGGTATGTCTGGTCTTGAGCAATGGACATCATTTCATCGGGAATTTTGAGTTGGATATCCATGTGTTTCGTCATTGAAAAAATGGCTTGGAAAGTCTTTGGTGTGTGATTGACAATATCGTCAAATGGCAGCTTGAGATGTTCCATCATTTGTTTGGTGGTAATGGTTCTTTTCTTGGGATTGCAAATCTTGTTTTCATCATTTGGTTTGTGATCACTGGTATCGTACCCACAAAGCATCTGCCCCTTAGCATTCTGGAAGGCATGTTGGATATCATGCCTGATGGTCTCATCCGGGGTGCTTGGTGTTGCAGTTGCTGGCACCTGCTGTTCATGCTGGTTTCCACACATGGCAATTGGGGAAATATCAATTCTCGGCATAAGCATGTCATTCCCCTGATGGTTCAAGTTTCCCCCAAAAACATCACTTCGAGGTTCATTGAAGTTCTTTTCATGGGTGCTACCGGATGCATGACTGGACGAATGCATAAATGGCTGCAATGATTGGCTGGAGTCTTGGGCTTGCTAAAAACTTGAACCATGTGCATGAAAAATCGCATCAATGGCAGGCTTGTGTGTTGGCATCATGATAGGCTGTTTCTCATCTGTTGAGGCATGTTGCAAAATGCGGGCATGGCGGTCGGATGCATGGATGGCCGGATGCACAAATGGCTGCGGTTTGGTCAAAAAGGCATCGGCTGTCTGTACATTTGGACCTTCGGCTGTCTGTGTGGTGTGTTGGGAACACCACTGCATGCTGCACACCTGATGTGGTCCCTTCTCTGCAAGGGAAGGATGGTTGGCACTGCCTACGGTTGTGGCATGAATGGACGGGTGCACAAATGGCTGCGGTCTGGTCGACAGGGCATCGGCTGTCTGTACATTGAGACATTCGGCTGTCGTTGTGGTGTATTGGGAACACCACTGCATGCTGCACACCTGATGTGATCCCTTCTCTTCAAAGGAAGGATACTTGGCACTGACTTCGGTTGTGGCATTTGGTGTCATACACGGATGCAAAAATGGCTGCGGTTCGACTGGCTGCATGTGATCTGGTCGGACTGGACATGACAGATCAGCATCAGACTCGGAGACTTGGGATTTGACTGACGGATTGCATGGACTCTGGGGACATGTGGCACTTTCTGCATGACCATCACATCGGAAACAAGGTTTGTCGGATTCCTGTGGTTGAGTCACACTACTTCTGCCAAGTTCCAGAGAAACTTCAATGTTTGAAAATCGATCAGCAACCTTTGAGGGATTTCCATGAAAACGCATGTCAAAACCATCACCGTCACCTACCTCTTGTTTGTCAAACCCTTCACAACCGTCATGATTTGAAAAAGGCTTCAAACTTCTGGGACACCAATCAACCGGAGGAATGTCACAAATTTTGTTGAGCAGGGCTATCCACCTACTTCGGGTCACCGGTCCACACACTGCATAGTCAAAACTTCGACTCCAGTTGATAGCATATCCAATCATGGAAATGACTTTGATGACGGTGGCTCTTTGCTCATGTGTGTTGAAACCAGTGACTTGTTCAAGGCCAATGACTTCAGGCTGCAGTAGTCTTGCTTGTAGCAGGGCTTCAGGAAAAGCTAAACCATCAGGTGTGGCAAGGCCTTTCGCATGTCCTGCCCCTGACCAAGGCTGACAGGGGGCGCTGATAGTCAGAATGTCTGGATGCCATTCTGCCATCGAATTCATCCATGTGGTGGCAAGAACATTGCCATGAATAACACATCCCTTTGGCATGCGTGTCATTAGGTTTGCTGGAAGATCATCATACCCATTGACAATTGGCACATCATGATTGGCAGCATAATTTGTGCATGCGGTGAGATCGGATTCAATTGCAACAATCTGTGCTGAGATTCCATGATATGCGCAAAGGTGTTTCATACCATACGTCCATCCACCAAAGCCACCTCCAAAAAAAGAAAGCATGTGAACATGATCATCCTTGGAAGCATGAATGGGGATAACAGCTGTTTCTCGATCAATTTCATAGTCCATGTCTGAGTCCATGTCGTTGGATCGCACACTCATACACCAGTAAAATTGATCACCCTTTGGAGTGCACCCATTGACATTCCAGAGTAGCTTGACCTCATGAGTTGGTTTGCACTGGTCCCATTGAAGGAAATCATTGATGATGGCTTCGCCTGCACATCCCGGTGGTACAAACTCAATTGCGTCCCAGACTTTTCCCCCTGCTAAGTTGAGGTCTCCAACCAAAATGTTGGGTCTTCCCAAAACTGTTCTGCAAACATTCGCACCAGTAGAACTTTGGATCTCTTTGTCAATGAGAAGTTCATAGAAATCGGTCAAAACCATGGCAACGGCAAATGATGGCGGGGCCCAAGGTTAGCACGCCCTGGCGTGTCAGTCCAACCAGCTAGAAGGTCTTGGGCCATAAGACCACCTGAATTAAGGCCATTTGGGGATGATTTCCCTTACTAACCATGATTACCAGCTAGGGACCCCTTAGGGTATGTGGGGGGGGACCTTTCCATTTTCCTTTTTAAGGTGGGGTTGCCTACTCCTGTCCAATCCTGATCCTGGCTTTGGAGACCAAGAATGCCTAAACAAGCCTAAACAGTGCATCGCGCCATTTTATAGGGTGCACAGCCGCATGGTCAGGGCAGGGTTTTACCTGGGACTGGAAAGCTTTCTCAGGCTTCAACCTGGCACTGCGGTGGATAATAAGCACCTTTGGTGCCATCCATATATCAATATCCCCACTTCATGTTGCGTACCGTGTCTCAACACTTGGGACCTTCCAAAAAATTATAATTTACCCAGGATATTGGGAATCACCTTTCATCAACGAGGTGCAACAGGTCCATGGCATTTGGCCAACGAGCGCTCTCTTCGAAGCTGCTGATCACTGTACCATAGCCTTGGTTCCCCCGGCATCCTGGTGAGTCATGGGGGTACCCCAAGACATCCAAAGTTAGATCATGTTAATTAGTATTGAAACATATTGAAACCATTGGTGACTTGGGAATCCCCCATTTTGAGACCCCTCCATATGAGTTTGGCATAGTATGGCAGCAGGGTCAAAACATCAAGCAGAAACAGAGTAGTTCAAGATGCCTGTTGCGATGTCAATTATCAAAATCCAACTATCAAAATCCAAATGTCACAAACAACAGAGTAGTTGATTCAAAATTATTCAAAATTATCCAATGATTCTGATGTTTGGTGACCTATCCCTCGCCGACAGCATGCGACAGCGTTCTGAATGACGAAACAGGGAAGCACCGGAATCACCGACAGCAGGTGTTTCCACGTGAGAAATAGCAACCATGGAACATATTGTCACGCGCGCACACATGCAAATATATAGCTATATTATACTGTATATATATATAGTATAATATATATATATACATAGGCATATATAAATATGTGTATGTATATATATATATATAGTATAATATATATACATAGGCATATATAAATATGTGTATGTATATATATATATTTATTTATTTATAAGTAAGATATTATCAGAGTAGCAAAAGGTCATTCAACAACCAGCAAACAGAAGGAAGCAAACGAACACATGGAGCTCTCCGTGCTGTTTCTCATGTCTGAAGGACTTCGCAGGTCACGTTGGTTCAAGTTTTCGTGAAACTGCGACCGTGGGATATGGATGCTGAGGGTGTAACCATGTGTAACCGACAACTTGCACATAAGGAAGCGAGGTGTCCTATGCAACCTTCTGCAGTATAAAGAAAGGATGTCAAGGCCAAGGCATGTAAAGGCGTTTGTGGAAAGGTCTCCCCATCGTATATCTCCCTTTACCTAGCCCGCTTAGCTAGTGAGTTCAGCAAGGAATTTCTCAGCCCCAATCTTTCCAAATTTTCGGTCATGGCGCTGGTCACAGTGGGCTGAAGCTGCTTCTCCTCTGCTTGATTCAGCAAAAGCAGCGCCTGTTAAGGCTCAGCTGAAGTATGGGGAGCCTTGCCCTATTCATCTTGAAACATAATGCAATGATATGCAATGTATATACATGTATAATATATAATATATACTCACAGAACAAAGCACATCCACCAGCTGATAATCCATCAGTTCCCCAAAACCTTTAAGGCATAGCCATTCAACCTTCTTTTCTATGAACCACACGAATGTGCAAAACTCGCCCAACCTCAAACTGCGAAGAAACCACTACTCAACCCCCCTCAAACATGCACCTGCGACCATTGCTGTGCTTTAGCACACGCGCTAGCTGTGGCATTGTATGCGACCAGGTCCTTCCAAGAGTCACAGAGAAACCAGTTCCCTCAAACATTGTCCAAACACTGAGCTTCATATTTCAAAACACCCGTTGCCAACCAACGCAATGACACATATGCCGCATATGCGATTGCGGAACATAAAATACGACATCTCCTCTGCATGACTGCTTAGTCTGTGCCATTCTCAACTTGAAGGGATCGTCAATCGTGCGCTTAAAAAAAAAACACCTACAGTGCCAGTCTCAAACATCTATCAAATATCTATCAAATCTATTACGTTGTGAGGAAAGCCAATTCGTTAGCCCCCCCCGCTCTCCATTTTGAAATTCTCTCTTGGGAATGTGGACGCAACACGATGATACAACCATATACAACCATATACAACAATGTTAACTCCTAACAGCTTCCTCCATTCACCACTGACTAGTCATTCTGGTCATTCCGGTCGTTCCTCTCCTGCTCTGGCATTGTGGTAAACATCTCCAGTGCCACCATCCATTGCGAAGCTTTTTCACAGGCCGAGATGGCTGCCTTGGTGGAAGTGAAATAGCAAAAGCCTACAGTTCAATATAACACAAAATGACACGTCTGGAGTGCCTCATGAAGCCTACTGTAATTGATTTCCCATACAAAATCAAAGACTGATTCAACACATCAAAATGCCCTAAGGTCCTTAAATCAACAGAAATGCCGTATGTGAAGAGTGTTTACCAGCTTTGGCTCATTGACGGACTTGTCGAAATGAAAGTCCCATGAAAAAAAAAACAGGGCCTCCCCAGAATCCAGAATCCCAGAATCACATCTCTGATCTGTCATTTCACTGTGGAGGTTTCCTAAAATGGGATGTACCATGATGTACCCTCAAAATCATCCATTTATATCCATTATAAATCTATAGCTGGATTTTCCATGAAACAAACCTGAGGTACCCCCATGACTATGGGAATCCCATGGAATCCCCATCTCCAGTCGTCTCCAAGTCGGCACCTGTTTTGAGGTCACCTACGGTCACCCCCCTTGCTGCTGAGCAACCGAAGAGGTGACCAGGTCATCACGTTGCGGCGCTTCTTGCAGCAAGAAGAGTGCTTCAGCCCAGCGCCCTGCCACAGAATTCTGCGTGCCCCATGAAAAAGCAAGATAAAAACAGCTCTTGATGATTCTTTAGGGCTATGAAACTATGAAACAGAAACCAAGTTGTTTCTTCTCTTCCAAGACCAAGTGATTTACATATAAATTCCAATCCGGGCACACCATATTTTCATGATACCCATCACTCTGCCCATTGTACGTATGCCTTCACCCTTCTCACAAGCGCTGATGGCGGCTGCATAGGTCACCTTGCGGCTCAGAGCTCGTCAAATCCCGTGGAATGGTGACCCTGGGTCGATGAACGGATCCAAAAAATGCTTACTGTATGTGGATGATTATGTTCTCGGCTAAACATGTCAATATAACATAATAATACATCATATAACAAATGATAAAGCATTGTATACCAGGTGTACCACACCACAGGTTCAGTGGGTGGCTAACGAGGTCCAAGCAACCCATGAACCTCTCTATGGCAGCACTAGTCAACCACAGCATCCCCCCAGCCATCAAGGAAAAGAGCAACCACCATGGTTTCGCGCCTGATTTGGATACAACTTTGCATCTTGCAAGTCACTCAGGAGAAACAAAGCCCATTGCCACTGAGCGCCTCTTGAGGGAACAAGGCGACACCAGCCATGGCTGGTGACATCAATCCAAACCTTTGTCAAAAACCGGCACGATCCAAAATGATCCAAAATGGCCATATTCTTTCAGGGAAAAGGATCATCAACCATGGGATTTCAGGGGGACATAGGGGGACCATGGGGAACCCAATTGGCTTTTGGTATCTGTTGGTTCAAGTATATGAAGCCTTCAAAGCCTCCACAAAACCCAAGGTGATCCAAGCTCATCGTGTCCGAAAATCGACTAAAATCGGCTGACTGTGATGGGACTTTTTTTGGGGGAGATCTGCATCTTGACTCGGTACCCTGCGGAAATCAAATGTGGCTAGCTGGAAAATCCCTGAACTCAATAGAGGTTTCTAGCTGGGAAACTCGTTAAAGCAAATGGGTCATTCTTCCAGCCAGCTACGTTTGATTACCAATGGCGTCTTGGCCTTTTGCACAGGCACTCATGGTTGCACTGTAGCTCACCTCGTTTTGCATGTTTTAAAGGATCCAGGTGAAGGGTAGTCTGAAGGGCCTAAGGGGATTTGTTTTGGATTACTTTCTTAAATTGCAGTGGCCTGTGATGGTTTTGCAAGGCCAAGTATCCAAGAAGGTTTTTGGGCCAACTCCATCCAACTTCAAAGAATCACAGTTCAGCGTAGCGGCTCTTGCATACTTAGAGAGAACTAGATCTCCCTGCAGGACTATATATTCATTCCACTTGCGTCCGCATCTGCCTATTGAACATTATTTCCACATCAGTTGCAGAAGGGGGGGCAAAAAAAACAATTACTTTACTTCGTGTGATCCCCACCATGACATTTATACATTTTCTTACTGGCAAATCTTCTGGCATTCTATCTGACATATCTTCTGACATTCTATTTGACATTCTATCTGGCATATCTTCTGGCATATGATCTGGCATCTCTTCTGGCATATCTTCTGGCATTCTATCTGGCAAATCTTCTGGCATTCTATCTGGCATATCTTCTGGCACTCTATCTGACATATCTTCTGGCATTCAATCTGGCATTCTATCTGGCATATCTATCTGGCATATCTTCTGGCATATTTTCTGGCATTCTATCTGGCAAATTTTCTGGCATTCTATCTGGCATTCTATCTGGCATATCTTCTGGCATATTATCTGGCATTCTATCTGGCATATCTTCTGGCATATCTTCTGGCATATCTTCTGACATTCTTTCTGACATTCTTTCTAACTTTCTTCTGCACATTCTTTGTCCCATATCTTCCTACATGAGGTCCGGCAGGGAACACTTGGCGTGGATACTCGCGGTTGAGGTCCGGCAGGGAACACTGGGCGTGGATGGTCGTGGTTGAGGTCCGGCAGGGAACACTGGGCGTGGATGGTCGTGGTTGAGGTCCGGCAGGGAACACTGGGCGGGGATGTTCGTGGTTGAGGTCCGGCAGGGAACACTGGGCGTGGATGGTCGTGGTTGAGGTCCGGCAGGGAACACTGGGCGTGGATGGTCGTGGTTGAGGTCCGGCAGAGAACACTGTGGATCGCGGGTCGCAGTTGAGCAAGGACGACGAGGACGACGAAGAGGACGAGGAGGAGGAGGAGAGGAGGACGAGGCAGGAGGAGGCGGAGGAGGAGGAGGAGGAGAAGGAGGAGGAGGCAACTGACATAAAATCTAACAACCCTCACCTGGCAGGTGGGGAATTAAGGAAGAATATTGAGAACTAGAGTTGGTCATTCAGAACTAGAGTTGGGTCAAAGTTTCCAGCACGCTATGGATTTCTGTAGACGATGTCCCTTAACCAAATAGTTCCAGCTGAGCATCGATGTTCTCGACGCAGCGTTGCTTCGCACTGCTGAGAGTGTCCAGAGCCTGACGCTCCGAGTTTGTCTGAGGTCTAAATCCCCGTAAGGTTGAACTTCATATCGGTGAGGATCCTCAATGATGACTCCAACGCTCAATGCCTTTCTTGCATTTAGATGCTTCAAACGTAGACGTAGAGAAAGACTTGCTGGCAAGGAAGGAGATTCTGTCACCCCATACATTACACAGCGAAAGAAAAAGGCGTTCAGTTGGACTTGCACCACAATGAATTCAGGATGCATTATCTTAAGAACACGGCATTTGCTGCGAAATGCAGTGAAAGATAATTATATACAATTATAATATTATATATAATATATTATATATGAAGTAAGTTCCTGATGCTTGGCTTTCCGTGTCTCCACCCACAAATGCATCCTATCTCTCCACCACACCCTTGAGGCTTTGAAGGCACCTCCTCCCATCGATGACCCTTGTCGCAGGCGCTGAGGACTGAGTTGTACCTGAAAGCGTCCACCGGTCAGAGCAAGGGCAAAGAGGACCTTCGAATCCTTCGATCATCTTGGTCCTCGTGAGCTAGTGTCTGGAAATAAGTGGAAACTAGTTGAAAATGTTTCAACGAAAATACATGCCACTTGGACCATGATCCACAAAATGTGATTTTTTAAGACACACGAATGTTAAGCCAGCAGACTGGAACAGTCTGGAACGAAGAGAAAACAAATCAATCTTGGACTGTAAGGCGCAAACAAGTTCCGGCGTTTGGGATCTTTTGGTATTACTTCAATGGATGGGTTATGATGGGAAAATCTGCAGTAAACCATGGTTTTTAACCACCATTTTTAGATACTGTATGTCTAAGTTGTTCCACTACATTTTCCCATCCAATTTTGGGATATGTGCAACTGTCAACAAAGTCATTGCCAAAGGTACAGGATTCCATCCAGCTTCACTCGGCTTTTGGCGATGACCTGCCACCGCCCAGCACTCCGATTAGTGAGCCAACCTGAGCCCATCCCTATCCCATGCTGTAATAGTTGGTTGATAGGCTTCCAGTTACAGTAGTTCTGGGCAACAATTATTCCCATTCAAATCCATTAATCATTAAACCAGGTATGTTGACAACCCCCTATTTCATAATCCATGAACCGTCATGTATCAGTTGTATCCCCGTTTCTAAAACAAACATAATTTTGTTGGATTTTCATGTCCCTTGTCCTCCAATCAAGAAGCAAGTTATTTTATATACCATTTTAAATATCGCCAAACTACAGCTGGTTCATGTGGTTTCAACACATCATAAGCCCAATGAACCATAATGACAATCTTCCGTTATAAATATCCCATGCTATACATGTATACAACCCTGAAGATAGCAAACAAAAACAATAATGACATGTACCAATATGCCATGACCCCCACTATAGATATCCTAGCCACCACGCCAAATCATCATAGAATATCCACATCATAGGTGTCCGGCCCCAAAAATCACCAGTAAGATACCCTGTAGAGATACAGTACCCACAAGAAGATATCCCATAATCCCGGATGTAGGTATCCCATAAAATATCCCAATCAAATATTCCCAAATATATATATATATATATAGATTACAAAATATCTCATAATCCCTGCCATGGGCCACAGATATCCCATGTCATGTATTGACACAATATACTGTAGTTGGCTGTATCCCCATCAAAAACAATGATAATCCATCATCAGCCATTGTAAAAATATCCAATACATACCCAATACCCCAAAGTAAATTACAAGTATCCACAATAAAATATGACATAATGTTTTACATTTAATAAATATATATATATATGTGTATACACCCCCAAGGAAATATGTTATAAAATCCAATATATTTTCATATTTCAATATTACCATGAAAGTTGTTTTCATAACTGACATCTTATCTTGTAGGTTCCCACTGGGTAAATTATGGCAATTCACTGACCTCAAAAAAGGAAATATTGGGATAATTCCCCAAATCCTATCAATTCCAGTGAGGTCGCGGTGAGGTCGTGATAAGTTACGCAGACCAAATCAATGACTTCAGTCAAAAAAATCATGTTTGACCATCTTTGATTTCCCTGTCCCATGGTTCTTGGGGATGGTTCTCAGGTATCCCATTGAATCATTTTGCCATTCATATTCCATTCATGACCCATCGAACCCTTAGCCTTATCCCATTCACATTCCTATTAAAAAATTGTGACTGTCCAGTTCGCAAACTGTTAGTTTGCCAGAGGCTATGCTTCTCAGATGCATCCCCAGATCAATTTTTGAATCATTGAACCATTGAATCATTATCCCATTGAACCATTGAAACATTATCCCATTGAACTATTGAATCATTGTCCCATTGAACCATTGAAACGTTGTCCCATTGAACCATTGAATCATTGTCCCATTGAACCATTGAATCATTGAACCATTGAATCATTGTCCCATTGAACCATTGAATCATTGTCCCAGTGAACCATTGAATCATTGTCCCATTGAACCATTGAACCATTGTCCCATTGAAACATTGAATCATTCTCCCATTGAACCATTGAATCATTGTCCCATTGAACCATTGTCCCATTGAACCATTGAATGATTGTCCCCATTGAACCATTGAATCATTGTCCCATTGAACCATTGGATCATTGTCCCATTGAACCATTGAATCATTGTCCCATTGAACCATCGAGTCATTGTCCCATTGAACCATCGAATCATGTCTCATTGAACCATTGAATCATTGTCCCATTGAACCATTGAATCATTATCCCATTGAACCATTGAATCATTATCCCATTGAGCCATTGAATCATTGTCCCATTGAACCATTGAATCATTGTCCCAGTGAACTATTGAATCATTGTCCCATTGAACCATTGAACCATTGTCCCATTGAAACATTGAATCATTCCAAGAAGAGCTGACTGCTGCTTAATTTGCGAATGTTGCTTATTTTTCCAAATTTCGACATTGAATACTTAATTTTTGGCCATTATGGCCATGTGCCTTGCAGATGTGCTTTAGAAGCATGTTTGCATGCTTTTTAAGGTGGTGGTGTGCGACAAATTGAAATATTTGCAACTGCACTGCATGATTAGCATGCATTCCTTTGAAGATCAGCATGCCTGCTGGCGTATTGACAGCGTCAATGCTGCAGTTCCTTTTTAAGACACTGCTTGGTTACATGTTTTCGAAGCTGGTGGTGTGTGACAAATTGAAATATTTGCAACTGCACTGCATGATTAGCATGCATTCCTTCGAAGATCAGCATGCTTGCTGGCGCATTGACAGCGTCAGTGCTGCACTTCCTTTTTAAGACACTGCTTGGTTTCAAGCTTGCCTTGAACCAAGGTCGCCATCGGGAAAAAAGGTTAAGTAAATATATGGCACATAGATACATAGATGTATCTATGTATCTATATATTCGTATCGTGTCTATGCATGTATATACGGATGTGTGTGTGTGTGTGTTTATATACATAGACGTAGTTATGTATGTAGGCGTGTCTGCTTTAATGTTTTTTATGTGTGCAATACATGTGTGTCTATATTCATGTCTTATTCTTGCATTTATTTAAACATCACATGTCTACATGTGTACAACAAAATACATCAACGCAAGACCCAATTTCCAGGGGCACCGCCGCACGTGCACAGTCACAAAAACATCAACAACAAATAGATTGACGTCCGCTTCCGGCTGACGAGTTTGAAGGGAATGATCCTGTTTTTGCCCAACTCTGGTGTACGTTTTTTAAAATGTGTTTGTCTGCTAGCCCAGGGGAACATATTTTCTGCGTTGCTCGGTATGGCTCAGAGCTCTTCCACTAGGCGAAATGACCAATTTTGTACAGCAACATTCAGAAAGGGTCAGCGTGCTAGCTGCCAAACTCTATGAAGCTTTAATTTCTGGAGATGAAGGCGCCTATGTTGCCAAAACCGGAAGCCTTCTCCGATCTAGAACGTTAAGGTCTAGAGAAACCCGAAAAGCTTTTGCAGTCATTGTTCAAGCTGCTGTGGGTTCCCCTTGTGAAGAAGAACAAAACGATCGGAAACAAAAACGGTTTTGGAGCAAACGGGTTGTGCTGGACGCTTTAAAACTGATGGTCAAAGATCGTCAGTTGCAAGTGCCGCAACTTCCTGGTTTTCAGTGGCCAGAGTGGTTCAAGGAACAAAGCGGGTTGGTCCACGAACTTGCCAAAAAGGCAAGCAGGAACACTAGGATTTTCCGTTCCAAATCCATGGCGGAGGAGGATACCCAGCCCTACGACCAAGAGGATTGTTCGGTTAAGTTGGGGTCCAAGGTTTGCAAAAGTTTTGTGGGCACAAATTTCCTTGCATGTGTTCCACGTCGAAAATAGGTCAACGCACTGGATTTTTGAATTGCTCGGCTTTAAGGTCTGCAAACCAATCAAATTGAAACAGTTTTCATCGATCCCAAGTTTGAGAGCCCTCGCATGTTGATCTTCGCATTTTTTTCTCGTCGCAGGATCTGAACGCTGCTCCCGACAACGCTGAGATGGAAGAAGATTGCCCACCACCAGAGGAACCTTGGATGATTCACTGCATGCCGCATGAGTTTGATCATGGCAGCAATAGTTTCACAACCAGGTGAACTCACATCTGCATGGTATACTTCGGGGTCTGAAATCCCACAAGCCACCCAATTTCTTAGATGCCCATGTGCTGCAATAATGTTCTGCAAATCAGAAATTAACGTTTTGTTGCATCATCCAGGTAAAAAAACAACAATCTATGTAGCAGTGGCATCACTTGATCTGTTATCTTTACACCATCCTGAGTTTCGTCAAAATTGAATTTTCGAAAACCTTACCAACTCTGAGGATGTCAGTGGATCATGGAGACGCTTGCGCAGAGCAAACCCTGCTGTGGAGAACCTTTGCTCAATTTACACAGAAAACGGTCCAAGAACTAGCACATTATATCCATTGTTTCCCAAAAGCTCGTCATATATAACTGCTTTGATAATTTTTTTATATGTAAAAAAAACAAAGGAAAGATTATTTTTGAGAATCGATGACACTAACTTATATTATAAATGCATGGCCCAAAACCGAGAAACTGTCGGAGTTATATTTTTTGATGTACCAAACCAGCTGTATGATTTCAATTGTCGAAAGCCATTGCATGGAAAGTGTCCATGTTGATCGAGTCCATGCCATGAGAATCAAATCAGGAGTGCTGCCGCTGAAGATAGCCCCGATCCCAACGGAGATGCTTCTTGACTTAACCCACCAGATTTCCCTTGTTGTACAAAAAACAGCCCTGGCCAACCCAGTGTATCATCAACGAATTCTATTTCGGATTCCACTACCATTCATGTCAGGGGACCCAAACCAACTTAAAATCTTTTCCACAACGACATGTGGTCAGCAATTGTCCTTGTTTTTTGAGTTTGACCGTTGCATCAAACAGGTATGTCTCTACAAGTGTATATATATACATATATATATATTAATATGTATACACGTACCGAGCCATACATGTGAAAACATATATATATATACATAAATGTATATATATGTACAGAGGCCCCGAAACTCTTTGATTTGGGGTTAGTCAATTTTGAAGGTTTCGGATCTTGGTATTTTGATACATCTTAGTATGTAATATATATATATATATATATATCTATATATCTATATATCTATATATCTATATATCTATATCTCAATATCTCAGTATCTATATATCTATATATCTATATATCTAGATCTATTTCTAAATATATATATATATGCAAAATAGGGTACAACACATTTACCTCCCTCGATCTGTTTCCGATTTCCAAGTTCGACCCAAGGTTACCATCGCAGTTCCAGATGACTCGCCAGAAGATGCTTCGGCCTACACCGAGTCGGAGGTTGCTGGGGGTCCATGTCGCAATCAATTACCAACAGTAACCGATCAGTAACCAAATAACCAATATTTTGTAACCTTCATCGCATGCAGTGCCAATTTTGTGTCTCACTTGCTAGTTAACTCTTTGTTGGTCAGGAGCATGGAGAGAAGGATTTGCTGTCTGGAGATCCTGTCGGGGGCTAACGCCTCCAAAATTTAAGTTTCTTGTGAGTTCATTTTGGAAACCGGCACATGTCAAACACACACACAGACCGGACCCTTTTCAGGACAAAATTATCATTCAAAATTGTCCTGAAAAAACTGCCTTTCAGAGCCTCTTACGCACATGAATTTTGAAACGCAAAAACATCCGAAATGAGGCCATGCCCTGGACCGACGAAGAATGGGAAAAGTGGGAGTGGCTTACAAACCCGAGCCCTGGGGATGCGGGGACCTTTGACCGAGAGAAACACCTCCGGGAACAGTTTCTTTCTGCAGTAGAGCAAGACCCTGAACTTAAGGTGGAACGACAGGATGCCAACAAAGTGTATGATCTTTTGCTTCAACAGCTGAAGCTTGTCGGGATCAGTTTGGAGCCCCATGAACTCAAAGAACAAATGAAAGCGGGCAGTCTTGCGACAGAAGCCCCGGAAGAGTTTGAACACCTCAGTGATGAACTTGCAAAGCCTATGAGTAGCCGTGGCGTGGAGCTTGCCACACACCTTGAGAACCTTCATGAGGAGTGGAGCAGTGATTCCAATGGAACCCCCCCACTTGGGCCCCAATGGGATAGCACAGAAAAACCCCTCGAGGAAAAGGTTGCTGAGGCTGACCCTGCCGATGCCATAGCAGTGGCAGCGGCTCATGAAATTCAGAAAGAAAAGCAACAAAGAAGGGAAGACAGAAAGGCGAAGGATGTTGAGAAGGCCAGTGAACAAGTGATTCGCTGGGGTCCAATAACCAAACAGGGACTCAACACTTTCATGGCTTCCTTTGGTCAGGTGTCGACACCGCATCCAGGAGCTATGAACTTGGGTGACCTCGTCAACTATGCATGCAGCCTTGAAGACATCACCTGCATTCCAGACAGAGACAACTACCCCACAGAACTTCTTTCCACGATTGAGTACATCCGCATCCTTCACTTCAAGTGGAAGATTGTTGACATGGAGGATTTTGATTGGTGGTTGGATCATGAGTGGGGGCCTCTGGTTGCTTTACCCCCCTTCTTTGGCATTCTTATTTGTAACCCATCCTGCAATCACATTTCTCACTTTATCCAGTGGTCAAACCTCAGCACCTTGCAGCCGCATGCTCAGGAACCTCTACAACCCGAACCTGGGCAAGATGATACCTGATGAGACGGACCCAGACAAAGGAGCACCTCGATCCAGCCAACGTCCTGTGCCTTGTAAACAAGCCTACTATATAAGATTCTTCTCAAAGTGGTTTTGATACCAAGTAGTTAATTTTGAAACATGTGGTATAACTAAGGCGGGCTATATGATTGAGATCCCGGAGTGTAAAGAACCAGAGAGCAAACACTTGAAAGACGAAGTGGTTCGATCCTGTTTGAAAGGGTTGCATACACCTATCAACCCTCATGCCCAGCGGCTCCTTGCAGCAGAGGCAAGGGAGGCCAACAAACTCCCAAAGGCGAAAGCCAAGTCCAAGGCAGCCAAGCAGAAGAAGGTCGAGAAAGGCAAGAAGGAAAAGGGTGACGTAGATCCAGACAAGAAACCGAAGAGCAGTCGTAAGGATGCTGCCAGGGTAGAAGAATCAGGTGTTCCCAGGACAGAATACTCAGCTTTGAAGAAGGAGTTCATGTCGCAAGAGTGGTTCCTCGTTTTATTTTGGGGATCGGGTCAAATCATGTGTGCCCTGTGGCTAAAGCATGTTTCTCTTTCTTTCTCCATACAATTTTTCTGATGGTCTTCAGTCTCAGGTTGCAGCCATACATAACCAAGAAGAAGGAAAGCCTGCGCCTAGTCTCAATATCATATCCGATCAACAACTCAAATTTGAGATTATAGGGTGGTGTCAAATGCCAAGTCCGTGGATTGTGTGCAGCATGCTTAAGCGTCAAAAATTAAACTCTTATTCGTCACAATCTGAAATGAGGTGGAGGGAATCGGACACCTTCAAGCGTCTGGTTGAGGCGATGGGGGAGAGTGAGGCGAAGCGCCGAAAATATCTGAAATGATTTCCGAAGATCCGTGAATATGGATCATTTAGGGGTTTGTGACATGGGCAGCTTAAGGGAGGAGTCCCGTGATGAAACCTGCAACATGTGAAAAAAACACATTTTTCCATGTCAAAGTGAAATGGGCTGCCGATGTTTGATCTTTACCTTTTGGGGATGGAAAGCTGTTGAAATTCCAGCTTCACCACTTTCAGCGACCAACATGCCGTCAACAAGATGTTGAAACGTACTCAGCCCTGCCTGATTTTGCTCGCGGCCGTGATTGCAATCAGAATATGGCTCCTTAGATCCAAGTCTGCACTGGACATGGCACTGCACATCGTTGTGGCTCTTTTAGGCAACGTTACTGAACCTTCCGAAGATTTGGGGTCCCGAAATTCTTCAAACATGTTCTTGGATATGATGGACACCTTGTCAAATTGCTTAAAGGGACACCAAATGCCTATTTGATCCGTGGGCACGCTGTGGAAACCATGCGATACTCGAACTTAGCATATCTGCTAACATGCCTCCTTATCAGTTTCTTGACTGCATTTGCTTGAATCCACCGACCCCATTTTCAACTTAACAAACTTGATGTGTTGTTCGTTCCTTCAACATCAACAGCCTTTCAGCTTGCATCGAAACTTGACAAAACTGGATTGGAATTGAGGTTTTGGGGATGTGCCTGCACACGAAGGGATTGAATTCCTGGAGATTTTTTCCGGAGCCACTGTTTGGTGATTTGTTTGAATGTGTCACCTGTCTTTTACAGTACTTCTTGTTTTCTGCTTACAAGTGATCTGTTGCCTTTCCCCGGCCATGTGGCAGGAGCGGCCATTCTTACCGCTGGCTGCGATTTCCATCATGTTCGTAGCGCATGCTTCGACGTGCCTGGGTTGCTCTATACAGTAACTATCAATTTCTTTGGGGCAACTGTAGAACCGAGTCATTGGCCCTTGCCTGCTGAGATAGAGTATCACAAGAGAATGAATGTCCTCTCCTCGATGGGGTTGCTCACAATGTTTCAATTTGCTCGGAGCTCAAGTGGTGGAAGTCTTACTGCAATATTGTGGCAGCTTCTGTTTTGGATGTTCGTCCATTCGGTGTCTTTGGGTCAGCTTTAGGCACGACGCTTGATCCAATACGGAACTTGTTGGATCGCAGTACCCTGTTCGACATGGGTATTCTTGTTCCTTGGCTGTTTGTATCTTTGTGTGCTCTTGCTGATGCCTTTCTTGAACATCTTCCTGTCCATTCAACCGTTTTTCGTTTCAGCTGAAATTTGGCTTGACAACTAAGATCCCGTGGCTCTTCCCATCGTAGTTGGTTTCGAGCAGGAGGCTAGGATCTGAATTCTGCATGATGGGCTGCCAACTTGCGTTTCAATTTGCGAGCTAGATAGAAATAGCAATTCTCCGGCTGGGTGGCAAACCACCAGGAAAATCACAGGATAGAAATACATCTTTTTGTTGGCCCTGTCAGGCAACAAGGCCTTTGCCACGGTTGCTTCTGCAAATAGAATGGTTAGGCGCATTGCCTACCTGTGACTTGTCTTTGTGTTTTGGGACTTGAAAAACTGTATTGGCTTGGTGTATATCTCCGGTCCTACTCCTGCTTGAACACTTGCTCGCAAGGATTGTCTTTCTCGAATCCAAAGGATGTTATTGGGTCTTGGAAAACCCAACCACAAGTCTACTCTGGCGATACAAAGCCATTCGGGACGCCAGGCAGCATGAATGGAAATTTGTGTTTCGCAAACAAACTTCCACTTTCTTTGGAAACCTTTCTTTACCCTCTGTACTCAGAACCTCATCCGAAAGTTCGGCGCAAAGCGGGTGACTATCCAACTTGGAGCATACGGTGCTCACACGGCAAAGCCTGTGTCTTGCTTAGTTTGAGATCGTGTGCACTATGTTGTTTCTCTGTCTCGTGAAGTTCTTATCCCTTTAGCTTCTGTAAATATATATGTAATAGATAGGTAGGTAGATAGATAGATAGATTGATTGATCGGTCGATCGATAGGTAGATATAGATGTGTATATACATATGTATGTGTGCTCTGCTGTCCCTAGGTAGTTCTTGTGGGAACTGTTCCTTGGCTGAGACGCCTTGCCAAGACTTTGAGCAAGGCCAGGAAGCAAGAGCTCAAACGCATCAAACGATTGCTGGAGATTGAAACAACTACCACTTACCGCGACGAGCGCACTGGCGTCTTGAAATGCGTCTGACCCCTATTTTACTGCACTGTCAAATTCAGACACCAAACCCACGTGTGAGAGCTGCGTTTCCCATCTGAGAATGGTTACTGTTGGTATCGATATCTGGGTTTATTGAGGCTGGTGGGAAAGATCTTCGTCAAACACAAGTATACCCGGGATTTCTCGGGTTGAAAGTTTTGACCTTATCTTTCCCTTGTTGCAGATGTATTGATTTGACATGAAGAGCAAAACCCCGTGATCCCTATAGACCCATCGCCCAGCGCCAAAATCTAGGTCGGGGAGCTGATCGCCAACTCCTTCGCTGATCTTCAAGCTGCCCAAGCTGTGCCACCATCCTCAGACCAGTCACTGGAATTTCACGATGATTCGGGTCAGGATTCAGATTCAGGACTTGAAGAGCTGGTTTCGGGCTAAGTTTGGAGGTTAAAAAAATGATTTGCCGGTTGTGCCAGGTGAGTTTCGATTTCACATATCACACGATCAGCCAAACATTGCTTGATGGCCTTAAGAAATTCCCTTTGAATGGTGGTTCCAAAATAAACAGAATTGCCAGAAACCCTTTTTGTGACGACAATTTTTAAACCATTAATTTTGGATTTATTTTGGAACCCCATTTAAATGAGAATTGCATTGACGGATCCTGACTTGCCATCCAGGCCCCATGCAGCTTCAATGATTGTAGCACACTATCTATCATTCCAGTACCACATGCAGACAACATAACAATCTGTACAGAATGTGGCCCCCACAGCTTAATTTAGGGAAAAAACTTAGAAACAAATTAGAACACATGGAAATAAACAGTGGGTCGCATATTTTTTTCTCTTCCCGGGCAAACGTGGAAAAACGTGGAAAAACGTGGAACTTAATACTTAATTTCAAAGGGATAACGTGGAAAAACGTGGAAAAACGTGCTGGGGCAATGAAGGATTTTCCATTTTCCAAAAGGGTATTTCCCAATTGTTTTTTCCCATTTTGGGGAGCTTTCGTTCAGCGCTTAGTTAATTCGGGCCATGGCGGATGAAGGATCCCGAGGTGAAGGAAAGGTCGGAGGAGACAAGGGCGGAGGCAAGACCAGAGGAGGCAAGGAGGGGAACAAAGGCGAAGGAAAGACAGGATTAGGAGAGGATCACGGCGGGGGCAAGAGTGGTGGAAAGACAGGAGTGGGAAAGGATGGTGGCAAGGGTGATGGAAAGAAAGGATTAGGAAAGGATGGCCACAAGGGTGGTGGAAAGAAAGGAGTGGGAAAGGATTGCGGCAAGGGTGATGGAAAGAAAGGATTAGGAAAGGATGGCCACAAGGGTGATGGCGAGACAGGAGTGGGAATGGGAAAGGATGGCGGCAAGGGTGATGGAAAGGCAGGATTGGGAAAGGATGGCGGCAAGGGTGATGGAAAGACAGTAGTGGGAAAGGATGGTGGCAAGGGCGATGGAAAGGCAGGAGTGGGAAAGGATGGTGGCAAGGGTGAAGGAAAGGCAGGATTAGGAAAGGATGGCGGCAAGGGTGATGGAAAGACAGGAGTGGGAAAGGATGGCGGCAAGGGGGATGGCAAGAAAGGATTAGGAAAGGATGGCCACAAGGGTGATGGAAAGACAGGAGTGGGAAAGGATGGCGGCAAGGGTGATGGAAAGAAAGGATTAGGAAAGGATGCCGGCAAGGGTGATGGAAAGACAGGAGTGGGAAAGGATGGTGGCAAGGGTGATGGCAAGGCAGGAGTGGGAAAGGATGGTGGCAAAGGTGAAGGACAGAAAGGATTAGGAAAGACAGGAGTGGGAAAGGATGGCGGTAAGGGTGATGGAAAGGCAGGATTGGGAAAGGATGGCGGCAAGGGTGATGGCGAGACAGGAGTGGGAAAGGATGGTGGCAAGGGCGATGGAAAGGCAGGAGTGGGAAAGGATGGCGGCAAGGGTGAAGGAAAAGCAGGATTGGGAAAGGATGGCAAGGGTGAAGGAAAGAAAGGGGTTGGAGCACTCAGCAGAAAAACGTTCAGAGGAGGTCGTCACACCAGCAAAGAAGCCCCCAAGCAGCCCAGAAGGTTCGGGACTTAATTGTTGTTATCTTCCATGTTCTGGTCAAACAAACATTGTCAGGTTCAGCCGAAAAAGCCCCACCGTTTGAAACTCAGTTTTTGCGTGTCGATAAGAATGCCATCCAAACAGTGTCCAGTATCTAAATATGCACCATTTTGCATCGATACAATTTTTACGTACATGTGCACACACACACATATATATATATATACATACATTCATGTGCAGTCATATGCATAGTTACATATCCTTAGATTTGCTCTACAGATCTTTGAGGCCGAGCCTTGGCCGACAACTGTCTTCCGTCAGCATTGGTTCGATCCTGAAGGAGCCTGGTTCTACTGGTAGAACAAAACGGGTTAAAGTGTTGACGGCTGAACAGCGTGAAGCCATTCAGTCCCTTACCAGTCCAGAGCAACTGTCGCCTGAAGAAAGAAAGAGACAGCAATCTGCACTAGACAGACGGTTGAAAAAAACAGACACCCTTCCACCTGGTGTGCTCGCGAAATGGGAGAACGCTGCGACTACGCAGGAGAAGCGGGGGCCTCAATTAGGGTTTTTGGTTTCCATTGCCATTTTGCACATCTCCCTCTCTATGTTGAATACTATTTTGGTTCGACTCCACATGAGCCAAAATGATAGCATTCATTGACTCACTTAAAGATGATGCATGCACTCCCAAGCCTGCCAAACTCAATGCATCGGTATACATGTGCTTTTTTAGTGTATATATATATATATGCATATATATATATAATATTATATTTATATATGTGCGCTCGAATTCCTCTTTGTTTCCCCAGCGCATTCCCTCTTATCATCATGGTTTTGAGGTTTGAGTTCCTGAAGAGCTTCATGTTGGACAGTTCCCTGAAGAATGTGACGGTTGAAGCATGGCACAAAGAGCCATGACCTCAGGCTATAACCTTACAAGTTTTGAATTGGCCACAAATTTTACCCCATGTGCTTGACTGAACAGGGCATCCAAGCAGAAGACGAAGACCAAGTTCATCGAACAACCACTGGCTGAACTTCGGAAAAGATTTGACCCCGCTTGGCTCGATGAAAAGGTGGTCAAATGCTTGTTTCTTAGTTGGTTCACCCTGCTGGTATGCTTTTTACAACATGTGGTCAATAACTTGTGAAATCTCCTCTCCAAATCTATTGAGGCCAGAAAGGACGACCTCACCCGCAGGACTGTGCTGCCAAAGTCTCAAACAGTTCCAGCTCGGATTCCAAACATCAGCTATGGTGATACTCGCCAGGATCCTGAGAACAGGGATCTTCGGATCTACCGTGTTTTTGACTGCATCGAAGATGCGAATGGTACTGAGACAGAAACAGGTCATCAGTTGAAAGGAACTGCAAGGGTAAGTGACAACAAAGCCATGCGTGCAAGCTTGGGGTCAGTGCTCACAAACAAACAAGCTGGGGCAAGAGACCCTATGACAATGCAGCTAGCACTTGAAGATGGACATGTCGGTGAACCAGAGCGTAAAAAACCCAGAAAGGCAGCGGCACCCAAACAGCCCCCCACGGAAGCGGAAGTCAAGCAAAAGGATTTCGACACTGGCTTGAAGAAGAACCTAATCTGAAATCAACATGTGACCAACTTGGCTCATTTGATTTGTTTGGAGTTCTGCATTTTTCTTACGTGGATTCTGGGTTCTAAACTTGATGTCCTATCAGGATTCAGGCTATTGCTTCCAAAGCACGAACGGCTGCTGCCAAGCTTCGGGAAAAGAAGATCCAGCACCAAGAGGCCAGAAAACATCCAGTGAATCCAGTTGACAGGGTCAATCCTTAGATGTGCCAATCCAGCCATCCAGGCCCTGATTGAAAACTTGGGGAAAGCCAGATCAAAGGCTGACAAGATCTACGCAGAGTGTCGCACTCAGGATCCTACAGCTTCCTGGGTATACCTCTCATCTCTGTTTTTTTGATATTATATATATATTATATCATATCATATATATATATATATATATCAAAAAATATTATATATATATATATGATGTATGGTGTGTCCAAAAATCTCATGTTACATGTTTGACTCACCTGCTGCTAAAATGTTTTTGACGCGCCGCATCCATCCAAATCGGATAACATTTCAAATGAGCAACTCTTTGTCAACATATTTGGCCCCTTAGGCTGAATGAGAACGTGTTTCAAGGAAAAGACATTGATGAATGCAGCAGCCTGATGGATTCCCACGAGTCCACTCTCAAGGAACGATTGGTGTCGATGTTCTTGTCCACAAATATGTTCATCCACAGTCCTCGCACAGGGGTTGTTACGCATGTGGTCTGAAGGACATGGAGCAGCAGGTCAAGGATGCTGAGATCATCATACAAGCCCATGACCGGCGTTTGTGCCCCAGTCTTTCAGTTGTTCTTAGTGTTGTTTCAAACAGTTGCGGATGTGAGGTCAAGCAACTGAAAAGCGAAACTAGGCCAAAGCGTCTGCGAAAGGCAAGGCGAAGCCAAAAGTCAAGGCTAAGGCCAAGGTCAAAAAGGACAAGACAGAACCAACTAGTGTGTTTGCTGCGATGAAAGGGGAATATGATGATGATGATGACGAGATGGACGGTGAGCGGATGGATTCCGATGAAAACCTCCCCGAGGAGGAGTTAGATGCCTAGTTCCCAATACATAGGTCTTCGCTGAACAGAAAGGGTTTTCCTTTTACCTAGTGACTTAAAGTCAGCCAGCTGGTGAAAGCTGGGATGCATTTCAACATGTGGGTTAGTCTGAAAACTTCAGACTATGGTCGGGGTTTGTTTGCCCCAAGCTTGGAACACCAGCTGCAACATGACGCAAAAACAGCGGTCCTCTGCCGAGCTTGATCACAGATTGAGAGGATTTCGCAAGTCCTTGGTTCCAACCGCTCCATGTGGTGGCACAAGCAATTGCAGGGTTGGTGTTCATTTCTTATCCAAGAACAGTCTGGATCATGCGATTATCCAAGAACAGTCGGCCAAAACCAGTTTTGGCCCGAGACATGCGTTGTTGGCACACTTTCTATTTGAATGTTCAAGATGTTTCAAACAGACATACCAAGGTATACAGCAGGAATCGAGAAAGGGCCTTTTGCCCACACACTACAACCTGACAAACGGTTCACCCTATGTCACTGTTCGCTCAGTTCCTATTTTCCGTTGATTGATGGCTGACTCCAATACTGCTGCTCCTGATTGGGTCAAAGTGTTGCAACAAACGGTATCAGAGTTAGTGTCTGAGCTCTTCAAACTTTTGAGTTCTGGTGAGGCTGGGAGAAGTTGACTTCAACTTTTGAAGAGCCAATATGAAAGTTATTTTTTACCCGTATTGGGGCCAGGCCAGCTGCAAAGCAATCAAAACATTGGTGGGCCTAACCCTCAGCTGCCTCTCAATGGTTTTATTCCTGTTTTCTTGAAGCCAATTGCCCAGGTAAGATTGAAAATTTGCCACATTCGTTGCTTCCGTGGCCCAACTGCAAAATAATTTCCCAAGTTAATATGGCCATGTTCATCCAAGTTTACTGACGCAAGGCCAAGCATCAGAGATCTAGCTGAGCGATTGCGAGCAGCTGGCAATGCCTGGGGCTGCGCTCGGGTTCTAGAGAAATGGTCCCTGGATCAGGAATGGAGTTTCTCGGTTTTGGACTCATGTGAAAAACATTCAACTCTTGTGGTGATAGTTGATGCCTGTAGCACCAAGGGAAAAAGCTACCACTTCCGTTTGAATTTAAAATTCGATCGGATGCTGGGATTCATTTTGGTCTAACGTTTCGAGCTTGACACTTGATCATCTCTTCTGTGAAAGTATCAATATATTCGCCCTGGACTTTGCCAATCTTAGGACTGGGAAGACAGCCACGGATGCCCCAAAGATACACTACAAAATGTATTGCTGCCACACGAAATCGTTGCCCATTTCCTGATGCATGGGGAAACACACAGGATGATTGGTAGCGATGGTGATTCTTGACTGAACATTTTCATCATACGGGCTGCTAACATCCACCCCTTCAAAAATAGAAATCTTTCAAATGTACATTGATGAACTTAGGAACTTGCTAGATTCTGGGAGCGAGAGAGGACCACTCCATGGTTTCGGGAGCACCCAGTTCTTTCGGTTTCTTGGCTCAGCGGGAACACTTGTGAAAAGCCCTTTTCAGAACATTCATTCATTCATTCATTCATTCATTCATTCATTCATTCATTCATTGGGACTGTGATTCATTAATTCTTTGGGGCTGTGATAAGGACCCGGATGTAGACCTGAACCATGTGATCCCAATAAGACTTTATGGAGACGGCGCCGATGCCCAGAGTATCTCGCCCAATTTTTGGCGGAATTCAACTTGTGGCATTTCACCAAACATCAAACCGATGTATTAAGGGGACATGTTGCTCCATCTCAGGACGGCAGAAATATGAAATGTTCACCATCCAATTTCCTTTATGCGAATCGTCTAGCACGTTAGACAACCGGATCTTGCTACCAAGTTGCAATTATGATGCCGACCAAGTTCAACGCCAATCCAGAATCCAGTATCCAGCATGCAAATCCATGGCTGCGCACCCCAGGACCAGTATCCTGAATGTTGTGTACAGCAAAGATGAGGCGCGTGAGCGCGCGATGGAAACACTGGCTTGGTCTATCAACGCATTGAGTGTTCTGGTTTCATTTATCAACCGTTATTTTCAAAGTTGTATGTTGGAAAACGTAAAATGTGGATACCCTTGTTTTTAATTCTGTGCGCTAGATCCCCAAACAGCTTAGGCACTGGAAAGTATCCGTCAACTGATCCATGGGGTCGGCCTTTCAGCGAAACCTACAACAAGCACCGGTACGAAGTAGCAGGCCAATATCTTTGCCCAAATGAAGATGGGATTCTGTGGAGGGGTGTCATGGAAGGATTACAAGCTGACCAGGATTTTCTTCGGTTGATGCTACACCTTACCCGCACTGCAAGCCATCAACATTTCTGTTTGTATTGCGATGCCATCCAGTGGCTATCTTTGCGTCATCAAAGGGGGCCTGAAAACAATGTTGAATCCCTTTACACAGTTTATGGTCCAAGGGAAGGTGACACACAGATACCTGGCTACAGCACTCGTGTTTTCAATTTTTCGTTTGCCAATGTCGTCATTTTGGGATGATAGATTTTTTCGATGACCAGCTACTTGAAAATTTGTTAGCATCACGGCTTAGGATCATATCTCGAGCCAGATTCGTGGAACTGCACGGGGAGAGCCCCATCTGCAAAATCATTGGGTTCGACCCGACCAGCTGCTGAAACTGCAAACAGCGCCCAATCTTCGTTGTAAACTATTTTTTGAAAACTCCCTCATTTAATTTGGGGTCAGCAGGGTTGCCAACAGAAACCCTTCCAAGGAATATATCCTGACATCATGCATATCACATACCTCGCGCTGGGGGTAGATGCTTTGGCAAGCGTTCTCATGGATGTTATCGATCACAATGGTGGCAGTCTTATTGAGGGCAAACACCGTGATAACAAATTGGAGACCTTGTACAACAACTATCGGGATTGGTGCGAAGCTTCAAGAGCCTTGATCTGTAGATTTAAGAAACTATTTTTAGGGTTGCTTTGGCATGCACTACGCAATGGAAGTTTTGAAAACCTATAGACATGAAACCTTGAACAAAAATGTCGTTGACATTGACTAGTTGACTTGGTTGAAACATGTTGAAACCATCTAGGCGTGCCGGACAGAGCAAGCCGACGCTTCTTTACAAGTGCAATCCTCCGCCCTTCTGGTGGAGCAGCTTTCCCTGCAGTATCTCAAAAAATTATGTCTGCCACGGCGTGTCGATATGCTATACTTTGGTGTTCTGCCATGCTGTCGACATTGGATTGCAGTGATGAGATCGTTCTGTGTTCTGGCTTATCTAATTTCAAATCAATTTACAGCAAACCGTGCGTTTTTCTGAATACCGATTTTTGCCCCCGGAAAAAAATCCTGTGCATTGTTGATTTTTGTTTCCGCTGCTTAGGTGGTGGCAAGGATGCATGGGTGGCCTTGCAACGATGGAAGTTCTTATGTTGAAACATGGAAGGTGGTTCACACCATACGCTGTGTGTGAATGGCGGCGTGCGTATGTTTGCTACAGATCTGCCCTCAACATGTTGGCAGATAATGCCATCAGCAAAGGGTTCATGCGATACCATATGAGGCCAAAGGCCCATATGCTAGGGCATATCACTTATCATTTTGTACCAAGAAACCCACGTTATTTTCATTGTTTTCTTGATGAGGATTTTATTTCCAGAACCAAAGCTGTTGCTGAAAAATGTCACCCACTATATATGAGCCGGCTTACGCTTTTTCGCTACATACTCCATGTATGTATGCTTTACTCAGGGGTCGCATGGTCGGGCATTTGAGATGGCAAAGCCATATCAATCGTCACGATGCCAAAGGTGCGAAAAGAAAAATCAAAGAGCTGGCAAATCTTAGTTTTGGAAACCCTGATTCACACACGTTGGAACGGCGTGCAGCAATCTTACAACATGCAAGTTCGTTTCAATTTATGCCTTTTATGGTTCGCTAAGATATTTATATATATATAATATATATATACATATATATATATATAATGGGGATACCAAAACGCAAATGTCAAACCCATAGTGGGTTTGAAACAAAAACATGGCTCAAGACCTTCCCAAGTGCTGCGCCTGCCATTCAATCTGATGCTGCGAGTCGGCTATGTAACAAGTTTGGTAGCTGCTAGCGCATTTTGTAGCGCCCATGCAGGCACCATCAAGGTAAGAGCTTGGCCAACAGCCAAATTTGACATGACGTGCGTAATTTCTTGGAAGCTGCTAGCGCATTTTGTAATGCCCATGCAGGCACCATCTAGGCAAGAACTTGGTCAAGTGCCAAAATTTGGCATGACCATGCCAACTCAGCATCACTGTGGCAATGGCAAAAATCATGGATTTTAGCATATGTATCTTAATTTTTTAATGTTGCTTAATTAGGCAACGTTGGGCTCTTCTTGGTTCTCCCATTGAACCATTGAATCATTGTCCCATTGAACCATTGAACCATTGTCCCATTGAACCATTGAATCATTGTCCCATTGAACCATTGTCCCATTGAACCATTGAATGATTGTCCCCATTGAACCATTGAATCATTGTCCCATTGAACCATTGGATCATTGTCCCATTGAACCATTGAATCATTGTCCCATTGAACCATCGAGTCATTGTCCCATTGAACCATCGAATCATGTCTCATTGAACCATTGAATCATTGTCCCATTGAACCATTGAATCATTATCCCATTGAACCATTGAATCATTATCCCATTGAGCCATTGAATCATTGTCCCATTGAACCATTGAATCATTGTCCCATTGAAGCATTGAATCATTGTCCCATTGAAGCATTGAATCATTGTCCCATTGAATCATTGTCCCATTGAACCATTGAATCATTGTCCCATTGAACCATTGAATCATTGTCCCATTGAACCATTGAATCATTGTCCCATTGAACCATTGAATCATTGTCCCATTGTCCCATTGAATCATTGTCCCATTGAACCATTAATGTTGTCTGACCAATAGTGATACCTACTCAATAGTAGAAACATTTTCCCGGAACTCCAGTTTTATCTCCAATACTAAAAGTCAATTAGCTCCATTTACTTTTAGTATTGCCAAAAGAGTCATGTTCAGACCTTGTCCAGAGGGCATGGCCAATAGTAGACCCAACATGGCAATAGTGGAAACTTTTTTCCCAACTCCAATTTTTTCCCCAATACTAAAAGTCAATTAGCTCTATTTACTTTTAGTATTGCCAAAAGAGTCAAGTAAAGCAAATCCTTTTCAAAGCAGCCTTCACTTTTGATAAGCAAAAGCTTAGATTCCAGAAATCTGATCCAATTACCAAACAGCTGATTTCCTTATAAAACCCTTATTAAAAAAAGCAAGAAAACAGGTCCACAAAGGGTACCCCCTTTGCAAGCCCCAGAATAGCAATAACAAACCTGCACCAGGCATGGCAATAGTGGAAACTGTTTTCCGCAACTCCAATTTTGTTGTCCTCCTTCTCCTTCTCCTTCTTCTCCTTCTTCTCCTCCTCCTCCTCGTCCTCCTCCTTCGCCTCCACCACCTCTGCCCCCACTTCCATGTCCACTTCTGCCTTGCCAACTCTTCGCCAATCTCTTCGCCAACTTCTGCGCGCAGTGGGCACTGCTGGTCATGGAGAATCTATCAGATACATATCATGATCCCAGCCATAAGGTTCCAAAAATTTACTATTGGAATGCTGACCACCCCTAAATTTGTTAAAATAATTATTTTATTTAGGGAGGGGGGTTTTACTATTAGGCAGCCTACATTACATTACATATCATTACTCCATTAGATGGTTTCATAACACCCCCACCATCCTTTCCAGTGCCTGCAGTAGCTCCAAGGCCTCCGGCCACTTGGCCGCCGTCTCACAGGCGCGCACCGCAGCGCTGTAGAGCACCACGAGGCCGCCGTGGTCTCGGCCTTGGAGCGGCTGCTGGGGTTGAAACCACCAGAGTTTGCTGGAAAAAACGGGAAAAAACCCATGGTTTTCGCCTGTTTGGATGGTTTTCAACGAGCAAAAACCAGCAATAAAAACGTAACCCATGGTTTTTCTGCAGATGTTTCTTGAAACAAAGAACTGATATGGTTTGATGATGGCTTAGTAAGGAATACTTTGGCATGTGTCTTTTATATCGGAAAATGGTTTCCCAGATCCAACAAAAATGGTGAAATATGAATAGAATGTGGCAAAACCTATGCATAAAACCTCCAAATTGGAGATGGAGTTGATACCATCCATTTCTGATAAACTTGGGGTTTGTCTTCAAATCCACAAAAACCTCTAGGCCTGGAATGCAGCACATGTTTTCATGGCAACCTTCGTCACTTCGTCATATTCCGAAATGGGAAGCTGTTCAAACTCCTACCGCAGAATGGAGAAATCTTCATGTACCGGTACATTATACTTGGAAGTGCAGTTCCACTTATGAGTGGATATATATATATAACTATATATATATATAACTATATATATATAACCATGTTTATGCATATATATATATATAATTAACACATCAGGGTAAGGGTTATATCCCAACCTATGGGGTTGATAACCATGGTTATACCCAAATAACCCCTCCTGTCCAACCCCACCCCCCACCTCGCTGTGGGCGGCCCCTGATGGCTCGAACGCCATGGAACAGCTCCAGGGCCTTCAGCCACTGTGCTGCTGCCACACAGGCACTGACCGCCGTGCCGTAGGACACCAAGTTGGGCTGAGGCAATGCTAAGAAGCTTCGAAGCGGCAGAAAGAAAAGAAAACCTCTGGGATTCAATTCAAATATCAAACATATTATATATATATATACACGTATATATATATATATGTGTGTGTGTGTGAGCTATATAGTAATTATCTATTTTATTTTGATGGGCATCATCTACGCCAAATTGAAAATCAAACAAATGTTCGATCTTTAGTCAGTTCTATGACGATCTATGTATTGATGGGTGATGGGGGGTTCGGGATGGGTAATGAGGATGAGGATGAGGACGATGTTTTTGTGGAAATCGTCAAGTCTGGATATCTGGAAAAGTTGGAAATGTCACGAAAATCATATAAAACATGTACTTTGAAGTATGTACACCATCAGGAACCTACTAATCATCTTGAACGCACCTGCAAGCTCCTGCCAGTGGCTTCGGACAGCAAGGCAACCGCTCTGCACCTAGGAGGGAACTCCGGCACAGCCGGAGACAAAGGCCAAGTTGGGATGGATGGGGCCAGGGAATTCTGAGAGCTTGAACTGGAAATAATTGCAACCATTTCTGCCGAGGTTTTCCTCACTTCTGGAAATGCAACCGCGCTTCAAATGAAGGTTGTCCCCTTTGAAGCAGTTGGGAAGCTCCACAAACACACCGAAAAACCGACATGAAGCACCCTCCATAGCCAGGCCATGCCAGGTTACCATTCGTAGGCCCGCTTCATGGTCTCTATGGTGGCATTGAAGCTGACGATGGTGGGGTCTAAGGACCAATGCCTCACCTGGGTTCGAGGAACTTCCCGTTCTCCCAGAGGCATGGAGGAAACGAAACTCAGCAAAAAACGAATCCGGTAGAGCTGGGTCAATTTGGGTATGGAACGGTGGGCCTCACAAAAGTTGCCTCCTACAAACTAAGTCAAATTGGATGGCCAAGGACTCCAAAATCATATTGCACAAGCGTTTTAAACATCTAGAGTTTCTTGACTGCTATGACGTGTGAATACGTTTGTGCAATCAAAGGCGGTAAGCAATGATGCTGGCAGTTTCGCACAAAAACTGTATGTATATATGCTATACACATAATGGCACATGTATACTGTATGCGCCAACATTTGATATGTAAATAATTTTCGAATCGTTATCGAAGGAAGTTTAGAACCCAAACTTCCGACAATATGGACAGATGGAAAAGAAGAGGTGGGGAGAGTCAGCGAACAGAAGAGCAGAAGAGAAACGATCAGAGAAGAGAAAGAGTGAGAAGAAAGAAGATGCCTGCGCGCGACAAGGTAGCAAAGTCGCGAAACACCGTGTTTCCAATGGTTTGCGGCTCAAAAAGTAGGCTCGCTAAAGCGGCGGGTGCGGAGCCATGTAGCCAGATGAGAGATGAAAATTTGCGCGCCGCTGTGGTGCGAAGCAGAGTTCCAAGCCAAAATGTACAAAACACACCATGCTCGCAGCACTTTTGGACGTTCAGATGCGTTTCGCAAGGCAGGCGCAAGGGATTGTGCACCTTGTCAAAACGAGCAAACGATGCAAGTTTTCTAGCATTTCCAAACACGATGGCAGGCGTGGGACATTTGCAGAGGATCTGGAAAGATGCATTTTCCAAATCAGGCGCAGGTGTACAAGAGACATGTTCATCAGAGATGTTAGGAGGCCAGGGCGCTGATTTCCTGAGAGGGGTTGCAGTTTGGAGCATTAGATCTTCAGTTTCGGGAGGCCGTCAGCTCTGCACTCAACTTTCCACTATTGAAGGAAGTCTCGCAGAATTGCTTCGTTTGTGATGTTGCCAACTTCAAAAATTGAGGATGTCTCGAAGATTTGCTTCCTTTTTGGCTTTTTGACGTTATCAAATTCAAAAGTTGAGGAGGTCTCGCAGAATGGCTTCATTTTCAGAATTGCAGATAGACAGATAGATAGATAGCTAGATAGATAGACAAGGACAACTACAAGAACAACTACCACTACACTACACTACTACTACAGCTACAAATGCACATAAAACCATTACACTACACTACACTATTCACATCTATTTACACTACACTACACTAATTGCATTACAACTACAACAACTACGACTACCACAGCTACAACAACAATATCAACTACACCACGTTGCACTGCACTGCACAAATTACACTGCAACACACTACATTGCACTACACTACACTAATTACACCACAACTACAACTACAACTTCGACTACGCTACACATATTACACATTCAACTACTACTCCACTACACCACACTGCAATTACAACTACAACTGCGCCACACCACACTACATCCAGCAGTTGTGGGTGAGGTGACCACTGCAACCATTGCAACCACATTAAAAAACACAACTTCAACCACCTTTCGGTCCATCAGTGGATTCGCTCTGCCATCCGTGATTCACAACAACCAACCTCTCCTATAGGTGTCCTATTTTTGAAACTCCCGCCACCGCCTTGCTACGGGTATAACCAATATTCTTCTCACTACCTTGTTGTTATTATTATTAGTTACTATTATCATTTGCCAATAAAAAATGAAATCTATACACATAATTGTGTATAAAACTATATATATATATTATATATTAAATTATACTAATACAACACACAAGATCATTTGTTCCAGCATATTTTCCCCAATTCCCCAGTTCCCGACCTTCTGCAGCCATGCCATGGCTTGGGGCCAGGCCATGGCACCCAAACAGGCGTTGAAGCTGGCGATGTCGAAACGGTCCTGGCCATCGCCATTTTCGTCACGGGCGGATGACAGCACCTGGTCCAAGGCGACCAGGTGAAGACCATGGCGAAGACCATGAACAATATAGGAATATATAGGAATGAATGTGGGCTGACTATAGGAATTTCTCAGGTCAGGAGACCAATGACATCCAATGACAATTCCGCGGATGGAATTAACTTTGATGATGAATAAGTTGAACCCAAGCGTAAGGGATCCCCATTTTGGAGCTAACGAAGTGGCCCGGGCCCCATCCTGGCATTTGATCACATACTGCCTAAAAACATTGTGACAGCACTGAAAACATGTTTGGATCCCTTTTCACTGGAACTGGCCATTCTTGAGTTCATTGATTCCTGGTGGCATTCCATCATCATAAGAAAATATGTACACTGTATATACATTCCATTCATTTGGGGGTGCTACAGGTACGTAGATACACATTCGAACACACCACCCTATATGGAGGTTTCCATAAATGGGGGATCCCCAAAATGGATGGTTTATAGTAGAAAATCCAATTAAAATTGATGATTTAGTACCCCCATTTCGGAAACCTCCATATCAGCCAGTCTCTGTCAAACCAGCACCTCTTGCGCCATCTGCCACTGCCGCTGCCGCGCGCAAGCACCGACCGCAGCTGTGGTCTCTGCTGGGCTTGGCCTTGGAAATGGCTTATCTCAGAAAATGGGACCATTGGTTCCACGAAGTTTAGAACAACCCAAACATGGGATTGGAACGTGAGGTGTGCCCTCCAACTACTAGGACTTGTTTCGAGCAGGGAAAGCTCGTTTCCAATAAATGCGGTCCCGGTGTCTGTGGCAAGTTTGGCCCAGAGAAACCATGGAACTCCAGCCCTCCCCAGACGCAGTACGCAGCCGAGAAACGAAGCAAGGGAATAGTAATGAAGCAAAGCCTCCTGCCATTCGCCTGTGGAGAGCTGACCTTTGCCATTCCCGTGGAAGTCCTTTGAAACCAACAAGATATGATTCACAGAAATTGCCTAAAGGTGATGCAAAAAAAACCGGCGAATCAAATCAATTCACAATATGGAATCGTGAATATCCACTGCCACATCATTTAACATCCCCATTAGCCTCCCCATAAAAACATCTATTAATATCCATCAATCTCTAAATGATTGGTGGGTGTACCTTTGGGGGCAGCACCTTTCGATTTCCATGATTCCACCCTCGGCCTGCTAAGCGCGCCCGGTAAGCTCTCAGTTTCGCAGCCATGGCACGGCGCCATGGCGGACGGGAGCGGGTGCCCACACAATCAGGTCATCTCTTGGCGGTATACCCAAGTTACCCTCTGGTAAATTAACATAGACCCTGGCAGATAGGGGTTGGAAGACTAGTTTCCATTAAAAATGGGTGATTTTCAGGGTCTATGTTTATTTACCAGAGGGTAAGCCACCCATTTCTGGAATCATTGGTATCTGGTAGCTGGCTTGGCTTGGCATTTTTGCATTCTATGCTAATATCAGTAACGGAACATCTTGAACATCTGCACTGCATAATTGACAGAATCAGATCTCCAAGACCCCCATGTCATAGATGCCTCCGTTCAAACTCCAGTGTCAGTCAGGAAAAAACTCACCATGGATGCATCCTCTGGTGTTGGGAAGGAAGTTCTGATCCTGCCCCATTCCTCCTGGGGTAGTTCCAGTTGCAAGTGGATAAGCAATCATATTTATATAATTTATATCATGTTATATCCTCACTTGCGAAGGTTATCACTGCACAGTTGAAGTTCTCTCTCTCTCTCTCTCCCCCTCTCCCTCTACCCAAATGTATTTAGCCCAACTCCACCAACAAGTTCGGCTTGCAGTTCCCAAGGCACAGCAGTCTTCATCAACTTTTCCATGCGCTTGTCCTGGCAACAAAGGGCTTGCAGCTCGCACTCTGAGACTCGTCAAAGAAATTGGTACGCTTTGAAGTGAATTTCCAGGTGTGAATCTTGTTTTGGGGCACGGGATCCTCAAGGAAGGGACAGGAGCGGTTGCTGGGTATGTTTCTGAACAAAGCAAACCGGTAAGATCCACCAAGCACAACGACACCAAAGAGTAGCGGCAATTGAACGTATGCAGGGGCCACCCGGATCCATTTGGGTATGTCTGCAACCATGGTTGGTTCAACCTTTCCATCTGCCCCCTTCTGCCTCTTCCAAAAAGAGCGGTGTTCCACGGCCCGACTTCACCGAAATGACTTTGCCCGCGGGCCTGGGTAGTGGATGACTACGGGAACCAAGGGTTCCACCAAGGATCGGATGCTGAGTGATTTCGGGATGATCGGAACATATTCGAACATATAGGGGTTTAATGGAAAATCCTATTAAAATGGATGATTTAGGGGTACCCCTATTTCAGGAAACCGCCATATTGGAACATTGAAACGGCAACTCTTCGACAGTCACTTTTTTTTTTAACAGACAAGAGTGTCTGACGTTCATCAGGGAGTGAGTGTGATTTGGAATCTGGAATCACAATGAATCACATCGTTTTGGATGCTTGTGGTCAGCAGAACCATGATGAACCATGTAGGTGAAAGCGGGCAATTGGCAATCCATCTCACCTCTGTACCTACCCTCTGGTAATTTAACATAGCTATTGAAAATTGCCATTTATAGTTGATTTTCCCATGAAAAAATGGTGGTTTTCCATAGTTGTGTGACAGTTTACCAGAGGGTAACCCAGTGGAAGTTCTGCGCCTCTGAAACCACGCCGAGGTTCAAGCAAGGCTGCATCACCAAGCCTTCGTGCAGCTCACGCCCAGTTTGATGTTGCTGTACTTGCTGGATGGCTTTTGATTGTTGTTTGTTGCCTTGCTCATACCATTAATTCTTAGCATTGGTAACTTTGCGCCTCTGAACAAATGCCAGCTTCTTTGGGTTTGTTCAAAGGTAGCGTTCCCTTTTCCACACTAGAATGGCCATAAGATACGGTATTCTGGGCAAACCCATGTCAATTATTCATTGGCAAAATCCCCAGTCCCAGATTGGTGATGGTATATATATCATGTTAAATGATATTGAATTTAAAACATGTTAAATGCCTATTTGAAATTGGTTTATATAATCCCTATTGTTGATGAACCCCTTTTTTGTTGGTTTCTGATGGTGACATCCCAATTTTGGATGGTCAGATCGCACGTATATCACAACTACGCATGGTAAAATTGATTTCCTCATTTCCTCACGGTGACATCCCCATTGTTCATAGTGAATTTAAATCATTTCTGGTGGTTTCTGTTCATTAAATAAGCCTCTGCCGAAACAGCCCAAAGCAGTGCACCTTGTCGCTGACCCACTGGTGTGACCACCGGGCCCGCGGCGATGCATCTCTCAACACCGGGCACCTACTACGTGGCTCAATCATGGCGAGCAGGGGGTGGCAAATGATCTCATCCCCAATCTACCCCTTTGGAGAAAAATGCTGTACAGCGGCTGGTTGGGGCTGCCATTTATCATCATTTTGCGACTGGTTGTTCCTAGGTATGGGTCAACATTATATTGGTCTCAAACAGTAGGTGGTTTAATATGACTACGGATCAAGATTGGGTACCCCAATATTAGATGGCTAATACTAAACATACACTAAACAATCATCACTTTAACAAAGCTATTGACAATTGTCATTTATAGTTATAGTTGATTTGCCTTTTAAAAATGGTGATGTTCATTCATTTTCCATAGCTATGTTGGTTTATCAAAGTGTAAACATCACCAACTCCCTTAACTTTACCCCTCATGTGGAACTCCACCTGTGCGTCGCTCAACAGCTTCACCACCTGCTGCTCTCGAGCAAATGTTCCTTGGACGAGGCCACGAATTTATAGGGACCAAGGGGTTTCCTAAATCATGGGGGTACTCCCAAATCATCCATGAAATAAGACCATAATTTCATCTACAATTTCATCAAAATGTTGAGCATTAACGGTTAACCTATGGTGAACTTGGGGGTCCCCCATGGAAAAGCTAACCCCTCATGTAGTTTGATGTAGATATCTGACATGTACTGTAATTGATGTAGCTGCATGTTTGGATGACGTTGCTTACCAATTTCACAAAAACAAGAACGAGCACTGCAAAATGCTGCAAACATTTTATAACGCCTGGGACACCAAACCCCATTGTTCAATTCTTCTTTGCAGGACGAAAAATAATAACATATCACTTGATCTGACGTTTAGCTTTGGATAAGTTCCCCTTATTGTTGTGCGCCTGAAAATAGCACACTTTGCGTCACATTGCTCGAACTAGACTTTCTATCTGACTTCGAGACACCTAGGCTCGATTTCAACCAGAAAATCAGCAATTCAAGGCCTTTTGTTTTCAACCATCTAACTATATACCCAAACTTGGGATGTCAATTTAGCACTCCTTGTATCATGCGAGTTTGGGTGATTTTCTTTGCCAACATTTTTCAACCATCAATTGAATTCAAATTACCCAAATCTTTCCTCGGTTTTATTTACCCTCCGGTAATTCAACATAGCCATGGAAGAAGGACCATTTCTGGATGTGGAGGGATGATTTACCATTACTTATTAAATTGTTTATCAATTTAACATAGCGATTTTCCATGGCTATGTTAAATAACCCTAGGCTAATTCCGAGCACAAACCTGCCCCTCTGATCGCCATGCTGCCCTTGGCGTAGTCATCGTTGCGCCGGCTGATCTTCACAGCGACCAAACCCTTGCCCGGCAGATCTGCTTGGTAGACTTCGCCCTGAACTCCTAGAGGGTAATAAGTGTCGGAATTAACACATGTGCATGTTGAAATAGAATGATATACCGTACATAGTACAATGTACTCATAATTAATATATATACAATGGCACACGCGCACACACACACAAACATATATACCAGCGCGTTATGATTTTTGAGACCATCATGTTTTCCCGTTGTATGTATATATATATATATATATCGTAACCCATGAGTGCATCGCCTTCCTATGAGTGGGGAAACTAATCAAAGGGTGTCAACTATGATGCCGCTATCAAAAACTGGGGGTAACCAAATCTGAACATGTATGAAGTTTAAGTGAGCCAGCCAACAACCAGAAAAAACTCCTTTGATGACCAAGGGAAGCGGTAATTGGAAGAATGGTCGCTACATGCCTAGATACCAACACAAGCATGAAGTTATGAAGTTTGTACCACATGCACATGGGAATCTACTGTGAAACCGCTGTTGAAGAACCTATATACTACAACCTACTGCATTAAGAACTTCAGGGGCTGGATTTCTGGATTCAACCCTTTCTGTCAACTAGTTGAAACAAGAACCCTACATTGCCTAGAATTCTCGCCAATAGTTCTTATTTACCTTTTCCAGGTTTAGTTCATGGTATGTGATGGTTGAGTTATTCTCTAAAAAATGCCTTCCTGGAACAGGTCAAGATCTACGCCACCAAAAGTCCCAAAGCTGCACTATTAATATTCAATCACAACTGTATATACATGTGTATATATATATATATAATTATATATATTTATGTATATCATATATACGTATGTATATATATATATATATATATATTAAAAGGGCATATTGTGTCGGTGCTTCTGATTCCGCAGCCTCTCTTCCACCTGCCCAGGGCGCGGCTCAAAACAGCTTTCAAAACGGAGGCATGTGAGTTCTTGTGAATTATTGACTTGCATCATTAAGCAGGTAAATTCAATCACTCTGGGCTCAAGCGGCCCGACTGGAAAACTTTCGGGGCCAAAAAGTTGCTTCCAAACCAACATGCTCGATGGTGTCCGCAAAACCCTCCAAACAAACATTGGGGACTGCAAACCCAAGCCAGCTTGTTCCAAAGGATCCCCATTGAATAGTTAGTATTGCAAAACTTTCGGAGCCTCAAAAGTTTCCAAACCAAGGGCTTGACATGGCGTCTTAATAGACGTCCACAAGTGTTGAGCGTGTCGAACATGAAAAAAAATAAGGTGCTATATAAACGTTTTTTCTTGCTCTCAGCAACCCAAAACCATAGCAAACCCAAAGACCCACAACAACTCTCCCTGCCTTGGCTTGTCCTCCTCTTCTTCGGCTCTTTGCTGCTTCCAAATCTTTCTGCTGGAGGCACTGTATATACCGAATACGAAATGAAGAACGAAAAAACATCATCATATGTACCTCTTAAGAACTAAGCCCTTAAGAACTTGAGGGCACCCTCGTTCACAATCCCCATATTTCTCCGCGTATAGCACTTAGGAACCCCAGGGTAGGCTGCAAAAGTCTTATTCGGTTCTTCTCCAACAGTTCCGCTGTACCCTCCTGGGACCCCCCATGCCCTGAATTGCCTCGCCTCCGCCCAAGAATCGAGGATTCTCGAGATCCAGACCACCACACGAGAAGTCTTTATTCAGCTGCATCTTCAGATCATCTTCCTGCAAGTCCAGAAGTGATCCATGGGCCGAGTTGGCTTACGGGGCTGAGAAAATTGCTTGTGAGGTCATTGTTGGCAACGTTGGCTAGTGCATTTGCATAGATTCTTGAAATTGAGGAAATTTGGCCAGTGAAAGATCATGTGCAGCAAGTTAAACTGTCAAGTTGCTATGATGAGTTGTGCCCTGATTTGGGTATGGGCACAGAATGGCACAGATTAGGTACCTAACATATCCTAACATCGTGAAATGGTGTATACATGTCTATGCTATGCTACTAAAAACGGATCCCAAATTGCCACAAAATCATCCAACATCTGTTGTTCCATGTTGTTCCTAGGGTCTTAAGGTTCGACTTATCCCTATGTTGCTCCGCATTCTCCCTGATGGTGATCCAGTCATCCCTTCTTGCCACAGGACAGCTCGGCAGCGTCGACTCCCGGCAAATAAGGCAGCACCGGTAGCCCCAAGTAGTTGCAGGAAGTTCGAACGTCCAATCCTGCCATCCGGGCTTGTCTGAAAATATCTGTTACACAAATTATCGTTAGGCATCATCACTTTCACAGGTCCGGTTCTATACAGATCATTCATGGATTCAAAGTTGAAACTGTCTGGAAGCCAGAGTTCTGCTCAAATATGGTTGAACGTGACCATCATCCATCATCCCAAAAAGGACCGGGCAACAAGCCGTTGAAAACCGCTACATCCGCAACACCAAGATATCTCCATCATGATCCAACGGCATCCCGCACCTTCGGTCTGATGGATCACAAGCACTTCTTGGCTTCAGTAGTGTCGATGCGGGCCTTCGGGCTTCACTGGGGATTTTTTGGGGCAGTGAATGGGCACCGATCTTTGGGACTTTGGGGTCCCTACGGTCATCAATACAAAGCACAAAAAGCAACCAGTTAAACCAGTTCGATCAAACTACATAACCAAAATATACAAGAATCACGATGCTAGCCGCTAGCCCCATGTTTTTCTGGATGGAAGATGATGGAACTAATTCAACTTAGCTCGGGAATCCGTGGGCGGACCCTCAGCTTCCACGCCTCGTCAGCCGCGCTGACGCCAAGGCAGGTCGCCATGGCGCATCAAGACTCATGGTGCTCTGCAGTGCTCTGGAGCTTTGTCACCAGAGCAAGTGCCAAATAAACATGTCGGCATATCTCTCATAATCTTGAACAATTGCCGATTCTTGCATCACTTCAATTGTTTTTTTTTTTTGTTTGATCATGGTAAAACATCTGCTGAAACTTCCCCGCAGTTCTTGGGATCCGCTCCAAGGGTTCACTCATGACTTCTCTGGATCTGAGTCCTGGTTGAAAACTGAGGCAGCGGGCAGCTGAACATGTCAGGAGCAAAACTAATGGCAATAGTATTTGGTTGGAAGATAATGAAAATGGAAAACCACTGGATCCATAATTTAATATCTGGACACCCCTTCTTAATGGAATTGCTAGTGCTAGTGGGATGACCAATGCTTCGGCTGTCAGGGCCGTCGGGAGGATGGGATCAGAAACCGATACTGATGATGATTAGTCCATGGATTGGTTTATGGGAAGATCTACAGGAAACCAGGGATTCCTGTAGATTCTCACCATACCCATTCTACTGATATGATTATCTCATATTACTTTTTTATGATTGTTGGATATTGTTGGCCTCTTGATGTGATACTCAAGTTGCCCGAGCGGGCCTTTTCTGTTTGGCCGTTCACGCCGCGGGATGCCCCACTTCCTCCCTGCCCCAGGTACGTGCATGTGTTCGCCAGATGATTTATCCATGAAATACATACAGACTATAAATTGTTAAATAGAAATCGTGGTTTGGGGACCCATGCAGGAGAAGATTTTAATGGTTTCAGACAGTCCTAAAAATAGTTCACACACACACACAGAGGAAAACCATGCGTAATTCATGGCTTAGGATTTCAGATTTTAAAGCTCATGGATGTTGCTCATGTTTGGCAGTGAAGATTTGAGATATGTTGCTTTCCAATTTTCAAGAGTCTGAAGCCTGTATCCCCCAGCTGCTCTGCCACCCCTGGGGCTGCTGGCACAATGGTACCTCGCCAAAGCGTCTGCCACGTTCCAGAGAAAGCCTTTGTCGACAAGAAGGGGGGTCCTTACCAGTTGTAACTAGGTTATTTATCTTCCATGTCACTGGCATTTTTGCATACAATGCTTCTTGTCGATATTAATATAATATATATATATTTATATATATATATATAGATCGAACAAATTTTGGACCAGGGGCCGGTTTGTTGCCATAATACTGGACCAGGACTTCCTTGAATCCACCACAGATCATAATCGATCATACTAGAAAAGGATGGAGTCACGGGTATTGCATATGGACTTGCACCTTCTCCCCGCAATTTAGCAAGAAATAACCTGGACGGATGCCAACCAAGGAACTACCATGGATATGGGGTATAAAATCGAACGTTTGGTGTTTAGTCCGTATTCATCCCCTTGTGTGAAGGAACATTCCGCATTTCGTCAATGATGGGGATGCCCTTCCAGTGGATGATCATTTTTTCCCATTGCCATTTGGGATACCATCTGGTTATTTAATATAGCCATGGAAAATCCCTTATAAATGGAGGTTTTAATGGGAAAATCATCTATAAATGGGCTATTTTCAATGGCTATGTTAAATAACCAGATGGTATACCATGATATACCCCCATTGCAGACACACCTTTGGGCAGTTGAAACTGAGGCCGAGGCCGACTGCAGTGAGCGAACTGTTCACGCCCAACCTGGGCCGAGGGCCGAATCTCCCGCCGAGAAAATAAACCCTGCACATGCAAGGTGGTGCCCCATAATTAGCTAAGTTGGTTTATAACTCCCATAACTATGGTTTATGGCAGATATAACTATAGTTAATGGGGGTTATAAACCAACTTATAACTGGGGGGCACCATCCTGTGGGTTTATCTGTCAAGGGGATTTATCCAAATCTATGGCTATCTTAAGAGGAAAAAACATGTGATGAACTTGTGGGCCTGTGGGTTAGGGGATGCCATGATACCCTATTACTATTGTCAAACAAATGCAAACAGGAACCCAAAATGAACAAAACCCATGCTAAGTGAAATGGATTACAGTAAAGCGGTCGGTTTGCACGATTGGTCGATTGGCTATTCAAAGTGGGGGCAGTGCAGTGCCCCTCTCTCCGGAGGTGCTTTTCCTAGCGTTTAGTAACTTTATAGACAAACAATGACACACGTAGGTATGATCATTGCTCTTCTGGCCCACGTACGTTGCATATCCCACATCAAATACATTTTCCTTAGTGTGGCATGTACGCTGATCCGGAATAATTTGGGATTGGCCCACTGTACCGGCCCTAGCGCATATGCTCACAAATGCTTACATACATCTGCACATAATGCCAACATGCAATAAATTGCGATAATATATATATATATACATCACATATATATATATATATAAACAGTATATCACAGAATATCTATATTAATATATATATATATATATATCAATGATATAATATGATATAATATATCATTAACATATTAATATATCATATAGTTTTACACAGGTTCTCGTTTCTATGCACATGTTTATCACATAGAGCGCGTGTATACAGTACACAATGTCTATCCCGCTGGGAACATTGGCAGCAAACGTGAGTCTGCTGCTGCTGGGAGTTCCCGCCCGTTGTATCGCGCCATGGCACCAATGGAGGCTGTCAACTGTGGCAAGGAACTCTGAGGAACCTGAAAGTCAGCCATGTGAGCCATGTCAGCCGTGTCAGCCATATCAATGGATTGGTTTAAGGGAAAATCTACAGGAAACCATATGGTTTTACCATCAAATATAGGGGTTTCCTATAAATTGTCCCATCATCCAATTCTATGACCATACCAAAAAAAATGCGGAAACACACATTTTACAGAACGCGTGCAGCGGCGAAGTGGCAACTTTCAAATCGACACATTTCGACACATGGTGCTCACTCCACTTGTAGCATCACCTGGCATTAAGAAGACGAAGGTTTTTTTCCACCCAGGGTAGGCGTCTCAGGATGACATAGGATGACTCTTCCCCAGCAGCTTCCAAACAAGACATCTGTGGACCCAACGTTCTCCATGAAGTCGTGAACCAATAGCCTGACCCAAGGCTGGAGCCACATCACTACAAACTGCTAAATTATTGAACAATCAGTTGAAGCAAAACTCACCGGTCAGACATTGATATCAAAATTGCTGGGTGAATATTCACTATAAATCTGGTTGGTGGTTTCAACCACCCCTCCGAAAAATATTTTGGTTCGTCAGATTGGATCATCATCCCAACTATTGGGGTTTCAATTAATAAAAGCCATGTTCCAAACCACCAATCAGAAATGACCACCATTCACCAGTCAGTTTCGGCCCCTGAGATGTTGACTCCAGCAACTGGAAAACCGTTGGGAGGCCAGCGGACCTGATGGAAAGGGACATGAAAGGGAAAGCTTCGGGGGTGCCTTTATATCAAATGGGTATATAATTACTGTATATAATGGGAAAAGGACAACATGGGCACGTACAATCAACCATATCGAACTCAAACAATAATAAACAAAATAGTTTGTTTTGCCCTCAATGTATTGCAATGATGGGAAAATGAGGATCATTTTGCATGAATCACTTGATTTCGGCTACCCAATTTTCAAACAAAGTCAAATACTATGAAATGATATCAAGTGAATAGTGGAGAAATAATAAGAAACACGTGCTGTTAGTGCGGTGTATTGAGGTTGCATATTAGGATTATGATTTACTTTCATATAAGGAAATCATCCAAATACGCAATGGCTTTCATATATATGCAATCCCATCCCTCATATTAAACACCCCCGAGAAACCATGTAGGGGATTTCTACATAGTTGGCGCCATCATCACCAAGGTGTTCAATATTAGGGCCTAGGGGGATGTGATATATACCATGAAATCCGATTAAATCCACATTTACAAAACAGTCTGGGGTACCTTTCCGGCCATGACATGATGACTAGCTCTGCGCGGTTTCACCCTGGGTTCAGGCCCTGACGCAGCCACCTCCTTCCCTTCACCTTGACAGGGCGAGTTTGGAAGCAACGAGATCACCCAACCCTTCAAATTAGCTCATGACAGCTATGAAAGATATGGTTGTTTTCCATAAATGGGACATCCCCAATAGCTGGATGGTCTATATAGGAAAGTCCGCAAAAGTCCCAACAACAATGGATGATTTGGGGGTAGCCCCTGCAGGAAATCTCGATATGTTCAGTGCCAAGATGTGCCAACTTCAGGCAGGACAAGCTGGTACATGTGAATAAAGATCAATAAAGTATCCTCCAAATCATAAATGGGTGGTAAATGGATGTAAATGGGTGGTAACATGTGGTAACCATCCCCACATGGTAGGTAAAAACTTAGACAGACAGTGTCTATTGGGTCAGGCTACAACGACTGAAGCACCGGGAGGCCACCTCGCCTGCACGGGTTACGGCCACTTCAGGCCTGCCGGCGATCCGTGTTGCTGTCACCGGCATCGATGTGTATCTTTGCAGCGCTTTTGCGGTCTATCAACATCTAGTGAATCTAGTGAATGAATTTGAATCTAGTGATTAATGGTAGCTGCCATTCAAAACTGACAGTCATCATGGTGTAGCTGGCATCTTTGTGACCGCTGACATGAATTCTTCACCTGGAAAATGATATAAACCGCAAACATCATCAAACGCACCTGTTAGTCAATCTCTAGGGTTTTTCACCATCTTCAGGGCATGCCATGGGCTCAGTTGACCATATCATCATGGCCTTCCACATTGAAACATCCTGGCATATCCTGGCGCACCTATGCACATCTTCTTCCAGGTAGAAGTCAATGCCCGCCTGGTTGGAAACCACATGGTACGAATAATTTCTGAGCTGGCTGCCAATTCACCCTCACCGAGAGCCACACGGTCACGCGGTCTGTAATGACTCATAATGAATGCATCATGGCAGGCTCAGCCATTTCTCGTTCACACATCATTTTGTTCAATGTCATAGGTTGGATGTTTCTACTTGATATGGGAAATGAGCCATGGATGAGTCATGGATGGGTCCATTACCACTTTAAACACCAAAACTTGGTAACTCACACCCGAATATTCCATGTGCAGCGCTGTTTTGTCGGCTTTGAGCTCAAAATTGGGTCTGACACAGTCCAACATTCTTCGCCGGGGTTCTGCAGCTGGGTGGCTCACGAGAAAACATGCAGAGGTTCCCCGAGATCCATTTCAAGGAGTCCGAAATAACCACATGTCTAAAACAAAAGAAATACTCTGAGCGCAAGACCCGCTGCAGCTCAACAGATGCAGCAGTGGAGACCAATCGAATCCTTAGAACATTGCAGGTGAGAGGCCCATGGCCATCCGGTCGCCATGGGTCAAATTTGTGGGTTCAACCGGCCTCAAATCTTCAGGTCATCAATGCTGACCAAATAGGATATACTACAACCAGAGGGAGAACCAGGGCTTTGATATGATTCAGTGCAGCCAACAGAGCGTCAAAACAACAATATTGCTGTCATACAGAAGCCAGTGCATCAGCCAGCTTCCTATACAGAAACGATCCAAACGGCACAAAATCATCACTAGCTATCATCAATTCACGAAAAGTATCTATATGTAATTGTATGCACATGTAGCCCCAAAATCCCATCATCATGGTTCCCATATGGTTCCCATCAAGAGCGGCAACTTTCGTCACTGTTTCGACGCCTCTTCGGAGCTTCTGCAGCTTGGACACGGCAGGGCCATGTCGGCCATGTCACCCATTTCCCCAATGGATCTGTCTGATCCATGAAAGACCAGCAGAATGATGCTACAAAGAGACACTAAGCAAGCTGTAAGCTGTTCTGGTATCGGTGCCGGTTCAACAATTTGTTTCTCGACATCTTTATAGTCAATCTATTTAGTCTAGTCGTGAAAATAAGCTTTGAAAGATGATGTCATATCTGTTCGATGACGCCACCATGACCCCAACAAAAACTCGAGCATGGCCATGGTGCAATCACAAGCGTTCAAGTTGAGCGGCTGTCAGGCCATGTCAAGCTTGCCTTGTGCTACACCCGCTTGCTGTCTCTGCATCTCACGCGCAAGAACCCTCTATCACTGGGCGGAAGTAGCTTTGCCACTGCCAGTGCTTCGCGAGGCACATGTGCACCCCCACATGTGCACAACGCTCTTAATGCTCCCAGCCGCTGAGCAAAATATATGCACGATCCACATACACATCAACAGCAAACATGATGAACATAAAGATTATATAGAAACAACATGAAACAGCTATAGTTCACAAGCTGTGCATGTCCATGAAGTCACTTCAACAGAACTTGAACCTAGTTCAAGAACTCGCCGGGAGTGGTAAACCCCTGACCCTACGCCTCGAAGTCATGTGAGAAATGTGTGAACCCGGCAGGCCCTGGCGATCAGCGAAGACGCAGCCGCTTTACTTCACCATCCTGACTGAGATCACCCAAAACAATGAGCCAATATGGGGAATCATCGACAATCATCATGTCAGCTATGTCAGCTATGTATAGCTATGTCAGCTATGGGTGGAAGAATCATGGAAGCATAATGGAACATGGAAAAGAATGGAAAAGAGTTGAAGCCATCTGATTTCGAGCTGCCCGGAAGCCTTTCGCTGGAAGCTTCATGGCCTGCCAAACCGGCCGTGTCAGGGAACCAATAGATTGCATGTCAAAGACATCCGATGTGACTCACATTTTTTTGACAATTCACTGGATGTCATTGGAGTTTTTGTTCCCTCTCACTCTTGATGATGTGTTTCTGATAGTATTTCATGAGCATTCACCAACTACCAGCTATGACAGCTATGAGTTATACGAGGAGGTTCCCAAAATGGGGCCACAAAACCATGTCTTTCCCACTAGAAAATGGCACTTTTGGATTCCCCCATGTCAAGATACCGCCATAATGTTTGTATTGGTATAGGGGTTGGAGCCACTGCCCTTTTTCCTTTGCGAAGATATCAAAATGTTTCCGAATGTTTAGACAGTATGGCTACCACCTCAGTAGCACTACACACAGCCAGGGCTGCAACTCGTCGATCTGCTGGCCAAATGAGGTCTGTACACATGAGTTCCAGCAGGTGTGGAGTCTTGGGATGCTTCAGAAACTTCGAATCCCTGGGTTTCTCTTCAAAAAATTCCAGAGAAATTCTGGAAGTTCGCTTCAACAGGGATGGATCCACATCAGGCAAGGTCTCCACTTCACACCCTTCGCAGTTCATCCTTAGAATGCTCACATTATGGAGCCTCAACAGGAGAGCTTCCAGGGTGTAGCCTACAACTTCCTCTTTTTCATTGCAAGGATCCAGGGGGTCATACACCTCCCCTGCTTGCAAATCGCCCAAACCGGGGTTGCAGAACTGATGATTTGCCGACCTTTCCGACTGTGGCACCGTAGGTAGCGCAGGTACCAGGGCACCATGTAGGACCGTCACCTGATTTTGCAGTTGGTTCAGGGCAATGTTGTATTGGAGGAAGAAGGCAGCAAACTTGTTGGGCTCAACTGCCATTACCTCCATCTTCATGACCTTTGCAGCATACAGGGACCAGCAACCAACGTTGGAGCCGACCTCTAGAACCTGACGTTTTGACCATGTTGACCACTCAGGCCCTTCTGTCTGGGACCTGTTGGCCCAACTGGCCCAAGAGCGAAAGCCGTAGGTGTCATTCTGAAAGGTGGTTTGACAGTCTTCTGCAACGGAAGGATCTGCGTTCGGAGTTAACACTTGGTAGGATTCATTCAGATCACCTCACAAAAAATGATGCGACTCTGGCGCAGTCCCAACACAGATAATAACACAGTCACTGGTCGTTCTTTTTTGGCTGGAGGTGGCTAAATCGCCCACTGAATGACCTATCTCTATTGTCATGGCCCCAACCGAATTCTTTTGGCAAAGAATGATGCTTAGCTTTGCGCCATGATGTTTAAGGAATGAAGGAGAAAAAACACACTGAAAAAAAAAACATAGCAAGTCACGAAACTCCAGGACTTTCCCGTGTTCAACGGCCTCCTGTGCCGCTTCCACGGATCCAAAAGCTTCGATACCTCTTGCCACCAAGGTGTCCGTCAAAAGACTCGCTGCAGTCGCAGGGCAAGCAGTCCAAAAAAGACTGAGGATGGCCCATAAAACGCCTAAGACCATTGGCATTTGGGGTGCAATCCTGACACCAGCTCTGCGGATTGAGCCACAATGAGCCGTGCGTGCCGGTCAAACTGTGATTCGTTTGTTTCAAAGTCATGGACTGGTGGGAAACCAAAACCTGCTACAGTCTACTTATTTTGTTGTCAGTTCTCTGCCCCAAAGGCATGCAAAATTGGGTACCCATATCACCATGACACCTCCCACCGTGTCTTCCCCAGTACCTCCGGAGCTCTTGAAGCGGATTCGTCTCAAGGGGACTGCCAAGCTTGTGACACCTGCGGGCACATAGGTTGTGATTCCGGAAGCATCCAAAAACATTGAGACGAACTTGTTGAGTGTTTCATCTACGTTCATGTGCGCGGTGCTGCTGAAGGGGCTATTAGTAGCCTGGTGCAGAATGTCATTGCAGCAAAAAGCAGCCAGATCTGAGAATGCGCGTGTTTGACTCAAGGCACATAGACAATCCGTTCCACGAATGCTCCACTAGTGGTGCACTGCAGGAAACTGACAAGCAGCTGCGAGATCTTCATCGCCCCCCGGATACTTCAAGAATGTGGATTCTCATTCCGCCAAGATTGTTGAACCGAACCCTTTTTCTTTCCCCATGGGATTGCTTTTGATGCTGACTGCCCATTGCAACTGTCCAATCGCTCCAATGATTTTCTGGCCTTCCTCAAGCCGTTGCTTCTTGCTGGGTGCCTCTAAAACCTGCAGCATTCGGCCCAATCTCAAGTCGGACCATCATTCAACATGCCGGTTTGATAGCCTGTTTGATAGCCCATCATGTCAGCTAACGGAGGTATGACGTCAATGATGCGCCCTGGGCCCCGGCCTCTGACTCTGCAGGCTCTGCCCCAGCAGCCTGCCCCAACGCCACATGGAGGTGGGTCGGATAGTGGCAACTTTGTAGATTGGAGCCGGCTAGTGTAACCCAGTCGAAATCCAAGATGAAAAACCCAGCAAAAGGGGATTGGACAGGGGTTTTCCTAGAGGACCCGGCCTGTTCCAGGTTGAAGTTCCTCTCAAAACTCACACTTCACACATCACCGCACCTTGCCTGATGCTCTTCGACCTGATCGGCCTGCTTTTCCGGAGACCTTGGCAAGCTTTGGGGTAAGACCACGTGGGATGGTGCGTCCTTTCTAAAACAGATTAAATTCACCAGGGAGACCCAGGGAGCATAGACATCATAGAGTGGCTGGTAACTTTTGCAGAAAACAGCCATATTTTTTGATGTTAATTGGGTTCATTAGTTATCTTTAAGTTTCTATTCATATGGAGGCCTCACGTCAATCGTCAACCGCCATTCAGTTGCTGAGAAACGACTCTGCTTGAAGCAATTTTTCCAGATCCTCGATCAACCTCAGGGACATCCACAATGGGTTCCATGGGTTCCATGCATGCCCTGTGTTGACCGCAAAACCACAAAATTGATCCAAGGTGCAGGGATTCTGACATCCTGAACGGAGGGTAAAGCCATCATTTTATAAATCCTGAACGGCCTTGTGCATCGAAACCCCATTGATAGGGATCTTTACACAGATACATTTGTGTGTGTGTGATCATGTGTGTAATATATATATATATGTATATATTATACATATATTTATATATACATTACATGATTCCATATATCATTGCATACTGTTGTTATATTTATATATATTACTATATATATTCTGATTATGCACATCACTTGAACCTACTCACACATGAATGCAACACATCTTTGGAACCACAAGTGCGCACTACTTGGATGTGCGCCCCGGTAAATGGTTCATAACAATGCGTCTTATCCAGTTACCTACCAAATATCCCAAATGAACATCAGGTATAAAATGAAGTCATTCTTAAACAGATACGCCGCGCCTACTATATACAATGTGCAGAATCACAGAATGCATGTTATGATCTGTTATAGGATTATCCAGTCATATTACTTTGATGCACATGCAAATCATCCAGTGCATCTTCTGACTTTTCCACCTGAATCTTGCAGCCACGCTGCGAGTCAGGTGCTTCCGGCGCAGACATTGGCTGCATCGGTCCTTCCTTGACCAAACGCCGGACATCTTCCTGCGCGGGGTGGCTGGTGAAGCATGGCTGGTCTGGAAATGGGAAATTATACTCCGGCCACTTAACATAGCTATTGAAAATTAGCCATTTACACGTGATTTACCCATTAAAATTGTATTTTCCAGAGTTATATAATTAGTTTTTTTTGGTTGACCAGAGGGTAATGGAATTGTTGTCCTAATTGGAAATGGGACAAACAAAGTAAGACATGAATGGAACTGATCCGTCGTATAATTTCGTAGGTATACAAGGAGGTTTCCCATTGTCAGGTTGCATTGCAAGTGGGTATATCCACCTTTGGTTGGTGGTGCTAGTCAACTGGGACAGTGCCAACAGTGCCAACGAAATGACCAGAAAAGGCCAACAATATCGACTACAACACAATTCCAAGAACGGGGACCTGAACACATCCTAGTTGAAAATAGAGGGATGGTCTCCTGCAACTTCTACTGCCACAAAAAGTTTCACAGGGAGGTGATCGACCAGGAATGTGCCCCCTTTACATGGTGGAAACATGTGGAAACATCGGCTCCTCCGACAGCTCTGAAGCGGCGAGCGCCACGGCACGTTCTGCCTTGCATCACCAACGCCCCAAGGGGCCTATCAATTGGCAAGTTGAGGCAGCAATGATCTTTAATGACATCATCTAAAATGATCTTTAACCAAATTGAGGCAGAAATTCATCATCTAATCTAAATGATCCAAAATGATCCAAAATGATCCAGACTGATCTTTAACCAATCCATTAAGGACTCGAAGATTTGGACATATTTTGACCCCAGGCCCCAGGCCCCAGCCATGCCAGCCATGCCCGACACATCCTGGCGCCTCTGCCTGATCCGCCCGGCTGACGGCGGCTTCCGCCGCGGAACGCCACGTGGCCAGCTGGCCCTTGAGGTCAGCGCAACTTGCGCTAAGGCGTGAAGCCTCTTGCGCCTGGGCCCGGGGTGTCTTGTCCATAGGGGATACAGCAATTTATGGCGATGTTCATGGGAGTCTTGTGGGATTACAGCAGAATATAGTGGAATATTGATGAGTACTGCATAAGCAGCAATATGATAAGCGCCTTTGGAAATGCAAAATTGCGGTTTGAACCGTGAAAAATCGCGGTCAAACAATATAAGGACGATGATGGAATAAACAATTATGGGTCCTTAAACGATCATTTTTAAACAGGTGCGGTGTTGTGTTGAACGACCAACTTTCAATAACACAGTTAATTACTTTCCCTTCGAACACCTGCTGGGCTGAGGTGAGAACTTGATTGAGACACTGTTCGAACATGTTTGTTGGAATCAAGCCAGTCCAAAACGTCAAATTAAAAGTATATAGTTGTTTGCTTGGGGAAAAAGTTGATGTTGCTGGTATAAAAATGCATGTTGCTGGTACAAAAGTGGATGTTTCGAAAACCCACAGTTTCGATCAACAGAGCACACTATCTTTTCGACCGCAGGCTATTTCGACATGATTTGCGTAGTAATGTTCGAAACGATTTCGAAACGATTTCAGAACAGTTCAAACGGCAACTTTTTCTTGAAACGATCACATCGATCATAGTTAAACTTGGCATTCGATGACTTTAAAGTGGATGTTTTAGGTTCCGGGATGGTAATTTGAACCATGACAAATGGTGGTTTGAAGCATCAAAACTGCGGAACTATATGATGTAACTAACTGGAACAGAGATTGAACCGTCAAAGAATAGTGGTTTCACTCTCAAACCAGTGGATGTAACGAAGCAACATGGCGGCTATTTTATGGTTTTTTATGGGATATCCACTTTTTACCAAAATCAATCCATGACAAACAGGTTTTCAAACCCAGAAACGGGGTTTGACCACCAAACATGCAGGTTGAAGAAACAGAGTGGTGGATAGTTTCTATAATCTACAAAACCTGACTGGAACCCCTCTGATTTAAACATGTATGGATGATGTTCAAATTGAAGGGGGTTCCAGCCATGTAATGTCTGTTTTCCGGGCACTAGAAACCGTTGCTGAGAGACGCGCTGTACATTAAATCTAGATTTTAAATTATTCGCAGTATAAGTGCTCTCTTGATAGGTTAAAAGTGTTACACATATTACAAAGACATGCAACAACTTCTACATCCGGGCATGGAGATCCAAACCTAAAGCGAATCCAGCGTATCTTATGACCATCTTGAAGTTTTCACTTTCCCCACCTGCGCAGTGAACTTCATGGCAGCTTTCCTCAGTGGGCGCCAGCGACAGAATTACCAATGGGAATATCCATAGCCTGTGTGCAAGAAGCAAGTGGTATCTTGATCCAATACCTCCGGGGTGGGGTCCAATACGGCCCCCGTCAATGCCCCACTTCCAGCTTTGAAAGGCCTATGAGCCTATGACCCATGGACTGGTGCTGGGAGCCAGGTTCGGAGCTCAGGGGATCGTTCCCTTCACCACCCACTGCTCAACATGGAGTGGAAAATAACACGCGGGAAGTTTGGAAGCTATCCGTCTTTGGTAACTATTTGAACTTTATCAACTTTCATCAAAGTTCCGCCCATCCACAGTCCCCTAAACCTGTTAAAGTTTAGGAATGGGTCAAAGCCCCGGTAAACCCAACATTCCAACAGTTGTTACCAGAATGGACCGAACATCAGTGTTGACGTCCGTTACAAGAGAAACAATTCATTCATTCATCTCTCTCTTTCTCTCTCTCTCTCTCTCTCTTTCTTTCTCCATCCTTAACAACTTTCCAATCAATCCAATCTAACCTTGTCCAATCAGTCTGAATCCTCTGATTCATGCTCTGTTTCCATCACTCAAGCACTATCTCGGTTACTATTGCTGAATGTATTATATACAGACATATAAAAATATTTGTATGTATGTATGTATGTATGTATGTATGTATGTATGTATGTATGTATGTATGTATGTATGTATGTATGTATGTATGTATGTATGTATGTATGTTACGTATGTTACGTATGTTACGTATGTTACGTATGTTACGTATGTTACGTATGTTACGTATGTTACGTATGTTACGTATGTTACGTATGTTACGTATGTTAGGTATGTTAGGTATGTTATGTATGTTATGTATGTAATGTATGTAATGTATGTAATGTATGTAATGTATGTAATGTATGTAATGCATGTAATGCATGTAATGCATGTAATGTATGTAATGTATGTAATGTATGTAATGTATGTAATGTATGTAACGTATGTAATGTATGTAATGTATGTAATGCATGTAATGCATGTAATGCATGTAATGCATGTAATGCATGTAATGCATGTAATGCATGTAATGCATGTAATGCATGTAATGCATGTAATGCATGTAATGCATGTAATGCATGTAATGCATTTAATGCATGTAATGCATGTAATGCATGTAATGCATGTAATGCATGTAATGCATGTAATGCATGTAATGCATGTAATGCATGTAATGCATGTAATGCATGTAATGCATGTAATGCATGCAATGCATGCAATGCATGCAATGCATGCAATGCATGTAATGCATGTAATGCATGCAATGCATGCAATGCATGTAATGCATGTAATGCATGTAATGCATGTAATGCATGTAATGCATGTAATGCATGTAATGCATGTAATGCATGTAATGCATGTAATGCATGTAATGCATGTAATGCATGTAATGCATGTAATGCATTTAGTGCATTTAGTGCATGTAATGCATGTAATGCATGTAATGCATGTAGTGCATGTAGTGCATGTAGTGCATGTAGTGCATGTAGTGCATGTAGTGCATGTAGTGCATGTAGTGTATGTAGTGTATGTAGTGTATGTAGTGTATGTAGTGTATGTAGTGTATGTAGTGCATGTAATGTATGTAATGTATGTAATGTATGTAATGTATGTAATGTATGTAATGTATGTAATGTATGTAGTCTAGGAAACGTATGAAACGTATGAAACGTATGTAACGTATGTAACGTATGTCCCGCCAGCCCTGGGGTTCCCCGAGCCACCGAATGTCTCGCTGACGTTGATCAGTGTCCGTTTTCCTTTTTTTTGGGCTCAGATGGACGCCGTAGTCCTCGCCGTGCACGTGTCTCTTTCCATATCATGGTTACTTCGCTGCAGCGGGTGTGATCTGTGGCCGACGTTTCGACCGACGTGCGTGCAACTTTGGGAAGTTCTTCATGTTTGTCGGCTGAACTGTTTGTTGGCACGTTGGTTGGGGGGGGGGGGTGGGGGGGTGGGGGGGGGTTCGTAATAACGTCCTGTCGACGACCTTCTTGAAGGTCTTCGTGATCTTGCAACATCCAACATCCAACATCCAACACGCGCTTGATGCTACGCTGTGGCACTTCTTCTTGCAACATCTAACACGCTCTTGATGCTACGCTGTGGCACTTCTTCTTGCAACATCTAACACGCTCTTGATGCTACGCTGTGGCACTTCTTCTTGCAACATGTTGGTTGGGGGGTTGGGACGGATGGGTCTCTTGTCAACCACTGCGCGTGACAAGATCGAGCACCGCAATGTGCTGTGCGCGCACTACTTGAACAAGGAGCCTGGCTTGGAACGCGTTCTTCGAGCTCTTGCCGTACATAGGCAAAAAGCGTCAAATGGATTAACAAAACAAGTCCATCGCAATGCTTCCAGAAACCTTTGTGGAACTTGTGACCGCAGTGAAAAGCGCGAAAAAAGGTGACTATCAGCTTTTGGGCCGCTGTGGCAAACACAGATTGTATTGATATTTGCAATGAATTTTAATGGATCTCCATTTTCCTTGGCGTTCGCAGGGGTTTTGCATCATCATTTTAATGACTATGTACGGACACTTGATAAAATCGGCAACCCTTCCATGGAATTTGCTTCTTCCATTCTTCAAAACCAACACATTTTGTTAAATTGATGCTTCTCATCGACGGACATTTTTCAAAAATGTCCGCGTGCCCCATGATCAACAACTGATGAGTTCACATCTTCAGAAACACAAAAAAACATTGGAAAAAACCCATATAAAATGGACATTTGCCTATGCAATGGATCTTGGAATAAATGATGCTCCCGGGTAACCTAAGGGCCGGAGCGACGTATGTATGTAATGTATGTAATGTATGTAATGTATGTATGTAATGTATGTATGTATGTATGTAATGTAATGTAATGTAATGTAATGTAATGTAATGTATGTATGTATGTATATGTGTGTGTATGTATGTATGTATGTATGTATGTATGTAATGTATGTAATGTATGTATGTAATGTATGTATGTATGTATGTAATGTAATGTAATGTAATGTAATGTAATGTAATGTATGTATGTATGTATATGTGTGTAGTGGTGAATATTATATATAATATATATATATATACATACACACAGTATATGATATAAACTGTGTGTTGCAGGATGATTGAGTTTTCTGCAGAAATCGATTCCAACCCAGTCTAAATCCAAACATCAAAGTTCCATCTATCTGCGTAATTAATCATCTCTAACTGAATCCATGCTAAGATAGCCCAAACTCATCTGAATCTACTCGAATTCTATTATACTGGTTGATCAAAAAAGGTATTAAGCTAATCCCCTATATCTTGGTTAGCAATGGTTAGTACAATCCCCCATCAATCCCCCTATAATCAACCAAGGCGCCGTTCATCATCCTTGGCCTTAGCCACTTCCGCCTCCTTCACGGCGCAGGAACGTCGCAACTTGGAGACTTGGGAGGTCCACGACTGGCACCTAGGGGCGACCATGGGGGTACCCCTAAATCATCCATATTTAATATTATTTAATAGGATTGTCCATTACAAACCATCCAGAAATTGGGGTACCCCCATTTATGGAAATCCCCATATATATATATATATATATCATACACATACATACATACATACATACATACATACATACATACATACATACATACATACATACATACATACATACATACATACATACATACATACATACATACACCCTGGGGTAAACAGTGTGGAAAACCATGAAAAAACATGGTATCTCGTTCGGAAAATGATCTCCATTCATGATGGGCTTTCCACATCACAATGTTACCAACGGGCAAGCAGGTCTCATGGCATGATTCCCTTCCCAACGTGGATGATGCCAAGCATCTCCGTCTCAAACTCCGCCAGGCGCTGTGCTGCTTCTTTCAGCATCTCTTCAGTTACTGCGACCTGCTTCCTAGACTCGGCAGCCTGCCACAAGATCTGAAAATCCAGGGGACATCTGCACATAGGGGATTTCACCAACCCCCAAAAAGCAACCCCCATAATAGTTGATGGTTCAAGACCTTTATCATGTTGCACCTTTGGGGAGGGTGGTTGTAACCCTGGGAATTTACGGACTTTCATCGCGCCAAGGACCTTATATGACTTATATGGAACTGACACAAAGCACATCGACCTGAGACTGGGCCAAGAAGTAGTTGCAAGGGAGGGTATGTACAGGTTGCCCCACTGGAACGCTGTGAGGATCTACCCCCATTCCACCACCCAACGCCTTTTGGGTCCTAAAGTCATGGGTAGAAATCAAGGGAAAAAAACAATCAACCATTAATTTTCACCAACAACGTTTCTTAAGCCAAGATCACTGGCCAAGTTCGACTTTAACAGCCTCAAATCTTGGGCCACAAGAGCAAAAACCCTTCTGCTGGTTGAAAAAGGTTTGGTTCATTTTGGTTCCATTTTCAAAACTATCTGTCACCTTTTGGCGATGACCCCGCCAACTTCACCAGTCAAGGGTCCGTCTGTTAATTCTGAGTCCCAGGTTGACAATTACTTCGACATGATGATCATTTTTAGATTTCTCCAAAAACTATAGGTTTGAACCTCAAAAAATCCAGTGGTTCATCCAAATTGTTTGAGGGCAATCTCCCAAAATGGGGACTGAACCTCCGTGGTGAAACCCCATCAGCCCCTGATGCCTCGGCTTCAGCCTTGAGGCGCTGGGACTTGGCGGTCTCCACTAGGCCCTGGGCCTCCGTAGAAAGACGCAGGGCCTCACGAGACGAACAAAATCGGATGGCCGTGGCATGCCGTGGTGCCATGGCCATGCAGTGGATTCGAACACCGTCTTTTATAACAATGCTTTGGGATATTTGGGCCTGTGAGACGATGAAAATGAGGATGAGGATGATGATGATGATGATGATGATGATGATGAGGATGAGGATGAGGAGGATGATGATGATGATAATGAGGAGGAGGAGGATGAGGATGAAGATGAAGATGAGAATGAGAATGAGGATGAGAATGTGGATGAGGATGAGGATCGATGAGGATCGATGAGGATCGATGAGGATGAGGTTTGAGGATGAGGTTTGAGGATGAGGTTAGGATGAGGATGAGGATGAGGGTGAGGATGAGGGTGACGATGAGGGTGCGGGATGAGGGTGGGATGGGGATGAGGGTGAGGATGAGGGTTAGGATGAGGGTGATGAGGATGAGGGTGAGGATGAGGGTGGGATGAAGATGAGGATGAGGGTGGGGATGAGGGTGAGGAGGAGAATGAGGATGAGGAAGAGGATGAGTATGAGGATGGGGATGGGGATGAGGATGAGGATGAGGATGAGGATGAGGATGAGGATGAGGATGGGGATGAGGATGA